AGTGAGACCTAGACTCTCCATGGTGGGTATGGTGCCATGGCCTATCCATGGCTGGTGCGGTGCGTGTTTGCACTTTGAGAGTGCTTCGTTTGTGTGTGTCCCTTTCTTTTGGTGTGTATGCATGTATGCATGCCCTATGGTTATAAAGGGCCTTGCTGTAGTATGGCAGGGGAGTGTTAGAGGGCCCTACGACAGCAAGGGCCCTCGACGACCGTTTGACTCGGCAGGTCAGCTATGAACAACCAAGACGAGCAGCCCAACACCGACCTTATGACTTGCGATGGTTGCGTGGTGACGCAATATGACTACGGCAGCACTAAACAGTCATTGCTGGGGTGGTGTTAGTCTAGGGAAGTCGTAGGCACGAGTCTTGGGAGTTGTGGAGGCTTCTCTGTGAGTCACGCTACTTCTAGCTGTGCTGGAAGAGAGGGCGTGCTCGGCATTGACCCCGCTGCTGAGTTGGGTTGGGAAGTTGACGAGGCGCGTTCGCTCACTCACACACCACTTTCGTGGGGTTGGGTTACTGCGCAGCGCCACGGCAACTTTGTGAAACCTCCCCGTAGCCTATATCTATCTTGTGTGTTTGTTTTTGTATTCATAGTTGATATTACAATTCTACTTGGTTTTCTCACTTAGTCATTTGAGACCAACGCTACCCAAACGCTACCGAATTACTGGCACAACATCAATTCCCATAGCCGAAACTCTCTCGCCGTCGTAACGCTCTCCATAGTATTCCTTCAAGGGGGGGTGGAGAAAAAACGGGGGACAGGAGCAGTGAGGGAGCATGGGCATTGGAGGATGGTGAGGGTGCAGGGCTCAATTGCAGGGGGCGATCCTAGTAGCTTGATGTTGTTGGCGCGACTGGGAGAGAGGGGAAGGGGAGAGGGAGAGTGGAAAGGAGGGGGCAGAGTGGAGTGGGGGAGGGGACAAGGGCAGTGGGGAAGGGGGGAAAATTTGCGCGGTCATTCAGTAGAAACGGGGAGTGGAATGGTAGAAACGCGGTAGAAACAGACCATTCAGTAAAAAACGGGGAGTGGGAGGTAGATATGCCGTAGAAACATATGATTCAGTAGAGATGGGGTGTTGAACGGTAGAAATATGGTAGAAACATATCGTTCAGTAAGTGGAACGGTAGAAATGCGGTAGAAACAGATCATTAGGTAAAAACGGGGAGGGGAACGGTGGAAATGCGGTAGAAACATATCATTCAGTAGACACGGGGAGTGGAACTGTAGAAATGCCGTAGAAATGGATCTTTCAGTAGAATCGGGGAGTGGAACGATGGGAATGCGGTAGAAACAGATCATTCAGTAAAAACGGGGAGTGAAACGGTAGAAATGCGGTAGAAACATATCATTTAGTAGAAATGGGGAGTGGAACGGTAAAAATGCCGTAGAAACAGATCCTTCAGTAGAAACGGGGAGTGGAACGGTAGGAATGTGGTAGAGACATATCATTCAGTAGAAGCGGGGAGTGGAATGGTAGATATGCCGTAGAAACATATCATTCAGTAGAGATGAGGTGTTAAACGGTAGAAATGGGGTAGAAAGCGATTATTTGGTAAAAACAAGGAGTGGAACGGTGGAAATGCGGTAGAAACAGATCATACAGTAAAAACGGGGAGTGGAACGGTAGAAATGCGGTAGAAACGTATCATTCAGTAGAAACGGGGAGTGGAACGATAAAAATGATTGATCAGTCACCAAGAACACGTCGCTTTCGTCGTCACCTTGAGGATTTGCAGGCTTGATCGTCACTGTCAGGAAGACTTCAGAGACTGCTGAGTATGAAGAAGGCCTATATTGAAGATGCCAGCAATGGATTCCAAGATATAGTATCAGCCTTGATGAGTCTATGATTGAGACTACGATTCAGTCACGTTAAGTGGACCGAGATAACGTGGCGACAACCATGAACTTCAGCTTACTGAATCAATTTTAGGAATCAAGAAATACTATTCTGAGAATGGTGTCTAATCAGGAAAGCCAAGAACGGAGCAGAGAGAATGGCGTTGATCAGTGAAAGTCTGGTTCAGGTGCAATCCAAGTGATACCGAGATATTCAGAATGGTAAAAACAAGTCTGCAGAAGTGAGAGAATCATTGGAAGCCGTGGAGGCCGCCATGCTGCGACCAGAGGTTGTCATTTTCGCAAAAGCGTTGACGATTTTGTTACTGGAACTACGATTCTTGGGAGTTAATAGCGAACGTCGCGAGCAAATGATCAGGCTCGCGGAACTCCCAGAGCTTCCCCGTTTGCGCGGGAACTGACAGAAATTCGAAATGGTACTGTACTCCTGACAATTTGTGTGTTGTGTTTCCTTTTAGTGTTCTGTGGTACAGGGTTTAGCAATGAAATGTGGCTTGAGCGATGCGGCTGCTCAGTGTGTTGTAAACGAGATTTGTAAGGACGCGTACCGGTGTCGGGGAAGTTGTTGGATCCGCATCAGCAAAACGAAGAACGGAGGAAGGGCAGGGATGAACATTCTAGGAGGTGGTCGTGACGTGGCACTAATTTAGTTGCCTCAACTTTTTACGCGGGTTGCTGTAACTTCAGCGGTGCAGAACGTCTTTGGTATGGGTCAGAATTTGTAGTTGGCAGAAAAAGTTTAGCTGATAGTTTAGCTGTAGGGGCACCCGAAAAAAAAACATTGGATATGTTTGACTTCCACGCCAATAGGAATGAAACGGTGTATCTGTCAACCTTCCGCAACCACGATCGAGCCTCAATCGTCTTTCGCCTCTCGTGTTTTTAGCCTAGATGGCTAATTTTTGTTACCGATAGCTGGATCTAGACGGAGAGTGAACTTCGCGAGGATTAGACGCTGCGATCCTCAGGGTCGCAGGCGCGAAAGTAGGAGGCGCCGCTTCTTCAGTAGCCGGAGCGAGAGGGTGACGGCACGAGCAAGAGCGCGACCCGCGATCTAGTTAGTAACGCCGCGATCCGCGATGCGAACACCTTTTTGCACCACTTTTTCCCGCCCCCTTCTTTCGCGATCTTCCCTCGCGCGAATTACGGACAAGGCACCTCCGCGCGCGCCTTGTCCGTGCTGGCGGAGTTGCTCGCGTCCTCCGAGACGCCTCAACTGGCGGCGACGGTGGTGAAGGCGCTGCCCTCCGCCGCGACGGACGAGGCGCAGGCAGCATGCTCGCTTGCTGCCTGATTCATCCGGAAGCGAGCAGGAGAACAGGGCATGCGCAAAGGTGCTCGCGGAGGTGCGCACGGAGGTGTCCGCGGAGGTGCGCGCGGAGGTGCCCTCCGCCGCGACGGACGAGGTGCGGTCGCCAGGTGAGTGCACTAGGGGGGGGGGCGGGGAGGGTGGGGGGGAAGGCGGGCGAGGGAGGGCGCATTGGGTATGGGGGATGGTGGGGAGGTGGGTGAGCAGCAGGAAAAAGGGGAGGTGTGAAGGGGAGGGCGCAGTGGGGAGGTGAGCACTTTACAGGCACCTCAAAACGCACAACGAATGACTTGAATGTCATCAGTAGCATCAAGTTATGCCTTGATAATGCCATCGCACTCCATTGTACCCTGAGTAACCCAAGGGCCCGAGCCACGTCCCTTCTCCATCTACCTCTTCTCCCTCTCCCCTTCCACGCGTCCCCCCCGTCCATCCCCTTCTCCCCTTCCCTAGCTGCAGGTGCAAGCATTGTTGCCATCATCGCGCGCCCTCTCTGCAGACGGATTGCTCTGAAGCGTTGTTCATGCTGTTGCTGTCGCACGCCTTCCCTGCCTCCATCACCTCTACGCGCGTCTTTCAAGGCGCCTCAAAAGGCGGCGATGGTGCTGCCATGCTCGCAGCACTGCCCTCCGCCGAGCCATGGCGCGAGCCGCCACCCATGCTGCCCGCCATGTGAGTTGCACGAGGGGTGAGGACGGAGTGGGACGCGAGTTTGACATGGGAAGGGGGACCATTCCGGGTGTCCATGTTCCCTTTCCCCTCCTGTCTTCGTCGCCTCCCCTTTCCCCTCACCTTCCCCCTCCCCCTCTCTCTCCTTCCCCCAGTGAGCGCGCTGCTGGCGCTGGAGCAAGCTCTGAGGGACCAACTCACCTTCTTCTGGCAGGGACGTGGTGGGAACTCGCGCCCAATCGCCTCCCTTTTTCCCCTCCCCTCCCCATGCCGCCACCTCTCCCCCTTTCTTAACCCGCCGCCACCCGTGTTGATTACCCGTCTATAAGTGTTCCTCTCTCAAGTTGTTCTTTTGCTTTCCCAAACCTTTCCCTTCCCCTTCCCCTTCCCCCTTCTTCCCCCTTGCTCCCCTTGCTTGCTCTTCTACGCTTTCACTGCCTCGCGTGAAATCATTGCCACGTGAACCCTATCTGCCTCCTCCTCTTCTCGCATGGATGCTAACACCCCCTCCCTCCCCCTCAACCCCTCTCCTGCTACCGCCCCTGCAGGCATCTGGACTGCACATGAACCGCATCACAGGCTGGTCCTTTCCTGCCCTCTCCCGCCTCTTGAGGCGCCTCAAAACAGGAGATGACTTTTGAGGCGCCTTAAAAGCCCCCTCAGCTCCTTCCTGCTACCGTCCCTGCAGACATCTACACTAAACATGAACTGCATCGCAGGGCTGGTCCCTCCCCTGCCCTCTCCCGTCCCACTCGTTCTCGAGCAGAAGGAAACTCTTGACACGCTCACCGGTCTTGTGCCTCTGTGGGATGACTCGCACGTGTGTGTGCGTGCGCTGGCTTAGGCTGGCTTGAGCTGACATGTGTGCGCTGGCTTACGCTGGCCTGGGCTTACTAGTGTACAATGTTTTTATTGATTGATAAATACAGATACTGATATACTGCCCCCTGTGAATGCAAATCAATGCAGACACCACCAATCAAGTATCATTTCGAAAGTTTCGGCTTACCGTATTGGTAATGATAACAATGAATGGTGCAGTTACAAAGACCAAAGCCAATATTGCCATCACTCATTACACAATGCATTACATCCAAGCCTGTGAGCAACATACGGTATTCCCATACGAAGGCAAAGTGCAAAGAGGCTGTCTATCGCTTCTTGGACACACCAACAGTCCGGCCACGGCGACCAGTGGTCTTGGTGTGCTGCCCACGCACACGCAGGCCCCAGTAGTGTCGCAGCCCACGGTGATTCCTGCAGGGACGGGGATGTAAGAATGAGGTGATGCCATGAGAGGGCGAATGGAGGGCCGCCAAAGGCAGGTCAGGGACGCACAGCAGCGAAAAAACAGGATTCCACACACGCAAATTCAGTCTAGTCAGGTAGAGACAAGGTCAATCATCATCAGGGCATCAGCGGGGGACATTTGAGCAGTAATTTCACTCACCCCACCACCCCTGCCACCCCAACCGCCCTCTACATATCCCACCCGGCCTTCCATGGCACCCCTAACGTGATGATGGAGCACGAAACGAGATGATCATGTGGATGATGGTGTTGATGACCATGGTGTTGATGACCATGGTGTTCATAATCGTGGTAATCGTGATGACTGGCCTAGCGGAGCAACATGTGAGGCGCCTAGGTGGATAAGCGCAATGGACGGACCTGATCTTCTTGAGGCGCCTAGGTGGGTGAGCGCAATGGACGGACCTGATCTTCTTGAGGCGCTCGAGGTCGTCGCGCATCTTCATGTCGAGTCCGTTGGACACGACCTGCGAGTAGCGGCCGTCCTTGTAGTCCTTCTGCCTGTTCAGGAACCAGTCGGGGATCTTGAACTGCCGCGGGTTGCCCACTATCACCATCAGATTCTCCAGCTCCGCTGCCGATAGCTCGCCCGCCCTGCCACCCTCCCCCGCGCACCCGCCGCACACGCACACGCACACGCACACGCACACGCACACGCACACGCACACGCACACGCACACGCACACGCACGCGCATAGGGCAGAGGGAGGGGAGAGACGCGCGCGCATGAGCGGACCAGGCAAGCGGATGGTGATGAAACCCTAACTTACGAATACCGCTACAATACGGTGGTTATGAGCCTGTAACCTTTGTGGCCGTCCACACTGAAAATGGGTGTCGCATGACACGACACTGCAAGGGCGGTGAGCGGTGCGCGTGCAACCCAATACAGGTAACATTCTGGCCTGGCACCCATGATACAGCCGTGTTCGCGCAAACATAGTAGCAACAATGCGAATTCACAATCGAGTTAGAGTTACCCGCGTGAAGCGGCGGGCAGCACAGGCAGTCAGGAACTTGAAGAAACGACCAGGTGACGAATCACAGACGACGGAGAAACGAGATGCAGCAAGTTGCAGGGGATTCGGCGCGCACGAGGGACGCGGGTGATGGGCGCGGTACATGAGGGTGATAGGATGCGGTGAATGGTGGGATGCGGTACAACATAAAGAAAGTCGGGAGAGAGTAGGGCCATAGAGAGCCGACGGCAAAGACAAGTGCGATGAGTGCGACGAGTGCGACGACTGAGACGAGTGCGACGAGTGCGACGGGCGACGCGACGCGAGCGGGAGAGCGATGCATACCGCTTGTTGAGGTCGACGTCCGCCTTCTTGCAGACGATGTTAGCGAAGCGGCGGCCAATACCGCGGATGGAGGTGAGCGCGTACATGATCTTGGTCCGGCCGTCCACGTTGGTGTTGAGCACGCGCAGAATGTGCTGAAACCCCTCGTTCGCTACGAGCGCCTACCGACCCCGCATCGCAGCACACGCACGCACAGCACGCCCACGCCGCGCACCCACGCACGCGCACAGCAAGCACACGCACGCAACATTCACACGAATGCAACACGCACACGCACGCAGCAAGCACGCGCACGCAACATGCACACGCACGCGACATGCACACGCACGCAACATGACGCAAGGAAACATGCACACGCACGCAACATATGCACACGCACGCACCGCATGCACACGCACGCACAACATGACGCACATGGACCCGTTCTCCAATTAGAAATTAGCGATGCCTGCTCTGGTAACTTCAAACGCTAAAAGAAAATCGACGAATGGAGCAGCATCTAGCATCTGCTAGCCCAGGGAATGCGCTAGAAACGGCGTGACCTGCAGCTGAACCTACCATGGTGGCGGCCTGGTGGGGCGAGGCGACTAAGCTAGGAGGGAGGGAAAGGTATCGAGGAAGAGGAGCCGATTAGGCCGTGGGAGGCGCATTCAAAGAGAGCGCGGGGAAAGGAGGTTCGGTCAGATGCCTGGGTGCAAAAAGGGGGAGGAAAGAGCTTGCACGTGGTGGTAGGCCACCGTAGCCGACTGACGAAGTTGGACTGGCTGAGCAACAATATTTCGCTAACCCTAGTTAATCCAATAAGTTACAGGTCGCCAGTGTCGAAACGATGACAAGCTTCGCGAATTCGCCAAAACGATAGGACGTCGAACAAGATACCTTGTACAGAGTTTCAAAGCTGACATTCAAAATTCAAACTAGTCTCTACAACACAAAACGTTGCCATCTATTATGTAAATCTCGGCCAGAATGTCAACCCAACGTTGTTCTGAGCTTCTTAGCGTGTGGGGCCATTCTTGCGTTCTCGTACCCTTCAATAACAGAACACGGAGCCGGACTGTATTTCACGGCATTGCTCCATACATGTGCAGGCCTGGAGAAGCTTATAAAGCAGGCTTACATCTCTCAGATCAACTACAGTACATGCATGATTCATCGCTTGCCGCCACCACCACCACCTGCGCCCTTGCCACCCTTGGGCCCTGAAGCGCGTGGGGCTGCCGCCTTGGTAGCGGCCTTGGCCTGCTTGGTTGTCACCTCTGCCTTCTTGGCCTTCTTCTCATCCTTCACCTTCTTCAGCCGCTCCTTGATCTCACTGCTCCCATACACACGGCACCGATGCCGCCAGATATGCGCACATGCAGACACACACATACAGACACGCATACTCACACACTCACACACACATCACATGCACATACACACATGCACACATATGAATACACATACACATACACACATGCACAAACACACATGCACACATATGAATACACATGCACACATACAAATACACATGCACACATATGAATATACATACACATACAGACACATTCGTGTACATGTGGTTCCACATGCTCCCTCCCAATATGCAATGCACCCTCCATTCACAAGCGCCAGTGCATGAGCACACATGGGGAGAAGGCGGTGAGCGAAACAGGGGTCAAGGTGCACGCTAGACCCACCGCAAGCAGACACGGGGAGACAGAAGGCTACACAGTGTTTTGCATAAATGCTTGGATGCATGGGTGCAGCGGCAAACACACAACCTTTGCCAAGAAGAGAGCAAGCGCGCGCAAGCGGACGCCCGGCATGAGAATGCAGGGCATATGTATGGCACGGGAATGCATGACATGGGAATGCATGGCACGGGAATGCATGGCATGGGAATGCATGGCATGGGAATGCATGCCATGGGATGCATGGCATGGGAATGCATGGCATGGGAATGCATGGCATTGAATGAATGTCATGGAATGCATGGTATGGGAATGCAAGAGGCAGGGCCACGGGGCACAACTGACCGGAGCGCGGCATCTCTGGCGGCGGCGCGGACCTCGGCCTTCTCGGAGCGGCGCTTCTGAATGACCTCGAGCGACGCGCCCACGATGGAGCGGCTGTGCACCTTGGTGGTCGTGCGCTTCTTCCGCCGCACGCCCTCCGCTTGCACGTCCTGCGCGCGCACGTGGGGACAGCGGGGGCCGCCGGGAAGGGGTGCGCGCGTGGGAAGAGAGAGGATGGTGAGTCTCGGAGGTAAGAGGGCGGACGCATTGCGCGCGAGGCGGGCGACGACGCGGGCGGGGAGAGACTCTATGCGAGGGGCGAGTGACACGAGGCAATGACAAACGACGGCGCGAAATGGGCGTGTAAAGGGAAATGACGGCGCGAATAACGAGATGACGACGCGAATAGCGATATGACGACGCGAATAACAATATAACGACGCTAATGGCCGACACGACGACGTGGGACGCTTCATGAAGACGCGCAAACCAAACACTGCCTAGCCGCCGATGAACATTCCGACAGCTGCCTTGGCTGATTGATCGTAGCTCGCCCATTCCCAAAGGCATAACCCTCTCGCGCCAGACCCTCTCATCTCGTTCCCACGCCTATTGCTCCTATCAGTCAGCGACCGCCGCCTCGTATAGTCGAAACCACTCTACCTCCAACCTCCCCAACCGCTGCACTGTCCTCCTCTTCCTCCCTCCATGCGAGCACCACTGATGCTCCACAACCCGCTATCCGCCAAACTCCTCCGCCAACCTTCCCTTCCCCTCTTGCCTCCATTCCTTCTATCTTCCTCCTGTGCCCCTCTTCTCTCTTCTCCCCCACTTGAACTCCTTCCCCACTTGAACTCCTTTCCCCACTTGAAATCCTTCCCCACCTGAACTCCTCCCGCGTCTTCCTGCCCTTCTCATATTCTCCTCCCCCTGCCTTGCCCCGCCGTGCCTGCTCGACGCTACATCTCGTAGCCTCCTCGCGCCCGCGCCACTTTCTACCTATCTCTCTCCACCCATCGCTTTCCGCCAGTCGCTCTCCGCCCATCCCTCTCTGCCCATCCTCCTCCGCGCATCACTCTCCGCCCATCGACCTGCAATGTCGCAACCTGCGTCAATGCTTCTACCTACTTCGAAACCCAACGGGGCCTATTCGCGCGCGGCGACGCACCTTCTTGTGCTGCTTGCGGTAGATGGCGGTCCAGTCGAGCTTGGACGGCTTGAGGCGGTTGTGAAAGTACTGCTTGCACTTGGCGTTCACGAACAGAAACACCTGCCGCCGTGCACGCAGTCAGCAGTCACAAGGGAGGGGAGTGATGGGCCGGAGGGGAAAGGGGGAAGCGAGAGGGGGGGGGGGGGGGGGGGGGAACGGCTTGAGGCGGTTGTGAAAGTACTGCTTGCACTTGGCGTTCACGAACAGAAACACCTGCCGCGAGAGGGTCGAGTAACAACGGGAGAGCGTGGGAGGGGAAAAGGGGAAAGAGGGGGAGGGGGGGGAGAGGGCGGCTAGCGGGCAAAAATTGGTTTTGAAAACCACTGAATGAAAACTAGAGCCGGTTCTGAAGCGGAGAAACGGCGAATGGATTGACAACGAGAAAGAATGCGAGCACGTCGTGGCGGGGAGGCACGGGAGGGAGTGGGAGGGGGGAGGCGGGAACTGGGGGTGGCGGGAATGGGGAAGGGAAGAGGGAGTGGAGAGAGTGGCGCGGCGGGGAGACCTGCGAGTCGGCGCGGATGAAGCGAATGCCCCTCCCGGGGTAGATCTTGGCGCCGCTGAACCGGCAGAGCTCCGTCCTGCCACGCAGCACATGTAGCACGCAGCACGGCACGCAGCACGGTACACTCGCGGTTAGAGGGCAAAACTGGCAGAATTTGGTGAAGCTGCGGCGCGAAAGAGGAGTCGGCACATGAGGATAAAATCGCGAACATCAAATCGGTGCGAAATTGACGGAAAGCACGCGTTAGGGTTAGGCGGTACGGACTTGAGAACCATGGCGCTGAATGTTGGTGTTCCCAGTCGCGTTAGAGGGGCGGAAGGGAAAAGGAGGGGGAGAAAGGAGAGTAGGGGATTTGACGAGAGCTATTGAACGGCTTGGAGAGGGAGGGGAACGATGGGGTGAGGGAGGGTGGTGAGCGTAGTGAAGGGCGACGAGGGACAATGCTAGCGACGAACGACTACACTAGCGACGAGCAGAGTTACCAACGACGAGCGACTCTACGAGCGACGTGCGACGACTGACAAGACACAAGGAGGTGGTGGTTTGCCACCACGGTTCGGTTGTGAGCCCCAGCTTCGCCAACGAAAACCCCACTCAATTCCAGAACCTGATTATTGTTGAGGTGATGATAAATGACAGCCTAGGATATTGTACCATATTGACCAGAACTCCAGACATTATTCAGGGTTAATGGACTCAGATCAAAATTACAGTATAAAAGTATAAATGTATCGTACCAAGTCCAGATATACGCCGCTATGGTCTTCAAAAGCCGCACCAGTTATCAACAGCCAGCACCATTTGGTGATTGTAATAAAACACTTCATGAATCCTGACCTCATTAGGCTTCACTATAAGAAGCCTTTGTACAAGCCCTCACACAAGTCCCACCATCAGGTAGGCAGGAACACCCTGATCCAGACCTCCTGTTTCCTATTAAGCAGTGTGTACGGCCCACTGTACCCCGCATACGCGCCCGAGCTTTCATCAAACCCCATGCCACGCCGCTCCAACAACCCTTTAAGGCGCTGCAGCTTGCTGCCATACACCGCCTCCGTGGGGAATCCCCCAAACGGCCCCAGCACAGCACGCACCACACCGCGCGGCATCAGCACGAGCTTCACTGTCGGGTCTGTGGGCTGCGGCACACTCTCAGGCGAGTAGCGCCGCGGCACCACCAGGGACACCTCGTAGCCGGCTGCCTCGGGGCGCGGCATGGTGAGGACCGGGGCGGTGAGTGCGATGGGCTCGGAGCGCGCGTTGTGGCCGGCGAAGAAGGAGTGCAGGCGCCACGTGCCATCCTCCACTGCCTTGTCGTATGAAGCGTTCACCACTATGGTTGTCACCCACACCTATGGGGGGAGGGAGGGGACGAAAGAGGGAAGGGAGAGGGAAGGGGAGGGGGAGGGAGGGACATAACAATATGGGCATCAAACGGGGAGTGAGTGACGCAAGGAGGGAGAAGAGCAAGCGTGTAGTGGTGCATGCTCTGAGTGCTTGCTTCCTTCGTCTTTCATAGCTCACACGTTCACAGTACGCCTCACATCATGACACCCCACCATCCACTCACCTCCCCTCACTGCATCTCCCCCCTCCTCCGTCCACCCCCCTTCCCCCTTTCTCCCCCACGCCCACCATCTTCTCCAAGCGCATCTCTCCGCGCGCACCTCGTCATCGGGGTAGCTGCGCAACTCGTGCCCCTTGCTGCGTCCGCTCACGTTGCACGCGGGGGTCTCCTCCGCCACGCACGGCCCGCACGCGGCCGCGTACGACCCCTCGCCGTCCAGTGCGGGGACCACGAACCACCGCCCGAACCCCTCCGGCCGCGCCTGCGCCGCCCCGCCCGCCATCGCCACCGCCAGCAGCGCTACTAGCACGCGCACCGCTGCTTGGGGGGGACGCACGTGGCGACAGATGAGGGCGGGGCGGTGGGGAAAGGGGAAGGGGACGGAAGGGTGGGGGGAAAAGGTGAAGCGGCATGGCGACGAATGCGCGATGCGGTAGGAGGAGCGGGATGATACGGGACGACGCGCGAGGACATTGCGGCGAGTGAATCACTGTGGATTCAGACGACTGCCGCCCTCTCACCGCGCGAATGCGTGAAGCCACACGCCCGCTCGACGTGCCGCACTGCCCTGGCGACACGAGGGGGAATGGTGGACCAGCGCGAGCAAGGGGCGATTGGATTACGAATGGCTGACCTTGCATGGTGACCGATGGCGATCGAGCGAGCAAAATCTAAAGGGCTATCGTCTCCGCGTGGCGCGGGTGCTCTCCGCTACGCGCGTATCGCCGTTACGCGCGTGCCGCAGCCGCCATCTGCACGGACAGTCAGTGCTGCGAGCGGCCGCGAGGAGACTCGGCCACCGTGGCCCAGGCGAATCGACGGCGGGCGACGCGGATACGAACGTCGATGGAGGGGCGACAATTGACCGAGCGAGCATAAGGCGACGACCCGCTGCTTGCGGGTATCACGGAGATTCAGTCACGTATTAGCAGCTGGTGCGGGAAGGATGCGTGATAAAAAGTGCGTGTTTTGCGCGTACTAAACTCGGAAAAAAGTGCGCGCGGTCCCGCGCGTCTTCGCACGGCGAATCTCGCTTTGTGGTGCTGTGGTCTGCTTCAGTTGGAAATGACGGTTTCGAAATTGTGCACATGGAAACGCCTACTGTACAATAATACTAACGAATCTACTGTATGGTTCTTCCAGTTAGCCATCAATTTCTACTGCCTTTCTGCGTCATAAGCAGGGAGTGCGTATTTTAGGACTCGGTGTGCATTAGTGGAACCTCCATGATGCTGTGGAGTGTGGTGTTGTACGGTGCAGTGCTGTGCACTGTGGTGCTGTGCAGTGCGGTGCATTACAAGCCGGCGGGGAAGTTGTTGACCTGGCCTTGCTCCAAGATATCCTGCCCTGCCACCTTGTATGACACCCTCAACTTCATCACCAGTGGCTTCTGCTCCCATGCACACATAGCGGCACACCCACAGACGAGCAGAGGCGGGCACAGGCACATCCACATGATATGGCCATCAGAATCAAGCATCAACATGAATGGCACTGGTGCTGTGGAAAGAAGCACGTGCGCAGAAATAGAGCAAGCGCACTGCTTCGCACTCCGCTCTTGTATATACATCTCACTTGTCCATGCATCCATGCATGTGCTTTCCTACCTGCCCACTCACAAAGACTCACCTGGCCATGCACAAGGACTGACCTGGCCATGCAGGGTGTTGGTGATGCGCATGGTCTGTGTCACGCTGCCGCTGTTGCTGGCCGGCACCACGGCCCCTGATGCTGCCTCCAGCTGCAGTTGCATGAACTGCACGCGGGACAGACGAAGGTGGGGGGTGTGGGAGAGAAAGGAGAGGGGAGAACGAGGAAAGGCGCATCTCACAACACAGTGGGATGCAATGGGCTGCCGGGGGGGTTTCTGGCCGGCACCACGGCCCCTGATGCAGCCTCCAGCTGCAGCTGCATAAACTGCATGAAGGACAGACGAAGGTGGAGGAGTGAAGTGGAAAAGTGGGACACAGACAGTTGCCAGAGGTTACTGGGCTTGCTGTGTGCCAAGTACCTGCCAGATGCCAGTGTGTGCGTGCAGGTACAGGAACAGACACGCACCTTCAGAAGCACGCACCTGGCCACACACACACACACACACACCCACGCACCTTGGGCACGGCGGCTTGGAAGACAAAGTCAGTGAGGGGCGAGGGCGAGGAGTTGGTGTAGGTGGCACTGATGGTGGTGCTCTGCGGTGCAGCAGGGTCCTTGGCAAACTCAAACGTGATGCGCAGCCCTCGGCTCTCCAACGCCACTATCCCCGGGAACGCCGGCGCCGCCGCTGCTGCCGGTGCTGCTGCCGGCGCCGCTGCAAAGCCTCCAAACGGATCCACCGCTGCTGCTGCTGCTGCGGCAGCTGGGGCGAAGGGTGCTGGTGCTGATGTGGGGGTGATGAGGGTGGGTGCTGCTCCGCCCATGAGGCCTGCTAGTGGGTCTATGGCTGCAGCTGGCATGGCGGCAGGTGCTGCTGCTGCTGCTGGGGGTGCCGGTGCATCTCCGAGGGAGAGCAGGTCCAATAGCAGGTCTGCCCCGCCTGGTGCAGGCGCTGGTAAGGGAGGGGAGAGAATGTTGTGATGGTGAAGGTGAGCTGTGAAGAGTATAATAGTGGTGGGTTGTGGTGGATGGCTGGGTTCGGGAGATGCAATGCACAACGGGTTCAGCATGCCTCACGGGTTTGAAGAGCAGCAGACACAACGGGTGTGGTGGGGAGGACAGAGGGTGGAGAGCGGAGTGAGAAACGAGCACAGCGAAGCGAGGCTCACCAGAAGCGGCAACAGCAGCCGGTGCACTGACTCCTCCCAGCAGATCCAGCAGCCCTCCAGCAGCAGCAGCGGGGGCAGCGGCAGCGGCAGCAGGGGCAGCAGAGGAGTCATCAGCTGTGAGGTCAAGCAGGTCTGCTAGCACCTGCGCCTGCGCCTGGGGTGCTGCTGCTGCCCGCACTCCCCCCACCGCCCCGCCTGCTGCCGCCGCGCCATTGGCTGATGGTTGCCCTGTTGGCGCTGCTGCCCGCGCCGCTGCGTCGGGCGCCAGGTCAGCGCGCTTGGAGCGGTACGCCACCTCATCCAGTGCTGGCATCTTGTCTGCCAACGTGGCTCTGGGGGGGAGGGGGGGCGGCGGGTGGGAGGGGAAGATGGGCGTGGGGAAAAAAGTGAGGGGGACAGACAGTGATGGGGGACTGGCATGGAACAGACTCTAAAGTGTACTGCACATAGCGTGGTGTGGCACGAAGAGGTGCAAGCGTAGGTGGACGGACGGGCCAAGGTAGGGAACGACACAAGGCAAGGCGACATGCAGCATTGCCCAGGGGAACGCACAGGAGCAGAGCGAGGAGGAAGGAAGGCTGAGAGGGCGTGTGGGGGATGGGAGGGCGTGGGAAAAGGGAGGGCGTGCGAGGCTGACTTGATCTTGTCGTGGCGGGCGAGCACGGCACTGAACTCCACTGAGCGCTGCTGCAGCTCCAACACCAGGCTGTGCCGGTGCTGCTCCTCCAACCACTTTATGCGCCTGCAGGAGAGGCACAGGGGGCAAGTGGTGGGGAGAGATGGAGAGCGATATAGGGGGAGAATACCGTTGAAACAGGTATAATCTCCTTTCTTTTCTTTGGTTGAATGAATGCACTAAGAAAACATGCATACATCCACAGTCGTAACTGATACAGGGGTTGTGTGAGGGGGGAGTAGGATCATGCGTGGAAGGCGAGGGAGGGAATCGGTGAAGAGAAGAAAGAAGTGATAAGGACATTGGCACAAGTGCAGGCACACGAGAGAACATCGCTGCGAGGAAAACGAGAAGAGATGAGGAGAGGAGCTGAGAAAAGAGGGGTTAAAGGGCGGGCGGCGAGGTGCGCACTGGGAGCAGGAGGGGAAGCGGCAGGAGAGCTTGAGGAGAGCAACGAGGACGTAGGCCTTGAGGGTGGGCGTGGCGCGTGTGTCCTTCATTATGCCCTCCAGCATCTGCACCACCTCTGCCTCCGCCACCTGCTCACCCCACCATGCACACACACACAGGGGTGGTTCCAGGGAAGGGTGGGAGCATGCCAGGCAGGGGGTGGGAGCATGGATGGATAGATGGGGGCGCAAGGAGGGGTGCACGAGATATGGGCGGTTGCTGAATGGCGCTTGGCTGGGTTCTGCCGTTGGTGGAAAACCGGAGCATTGAGATTCAGATGGTAGTTCACAAGAAAGTGAGTGGTTCCAGGGAAGGGAAGGTTGTTTCAGAAGGGCGGAGGGTGCATAGCGGGCAGGGTGTGGCACCTGCATTGACGGATGGACGGACGGACGGATGGATGGATGGGTAAAATAATGGGTTCAAGGGGGGCTGAACAAGGCATAGGTAGTTGCTGAATAGACCTCGAGTGTGTTCTGCCATCGCTGAAAAATGGAACACTGAGTTTCAGATGGTAATTTGCAATAAAGTGAAGGGGCGAGGAAGGAGTGCGGAACGATAGCGGGTGCAGAAGAACAAAGGGAGAAGGGGTGGATAGAGGGAGGGAGGGAGGGAGGGAGGGAGGGAGGGAGGGAGGGAGGGAGGGAGGGAGGGAGGGAGGGAGGGAGGGAGGGAGGGAGGGAGGGAGGGAGGGAGGGAGGGAGGGAGGGGGAGGGAGGGAGGGAGGGAGGGAGGGAGGGAGGGAGGGAGGGAGGGAGGGAGGGAGGGAGGGAGGGAGGGAGGGGGAGGGAGGGAGGGACGGAGGGAGGGAGGGAGGGAGGGAGGGAGGGAGGGAGGGAGGGAGGGGGAGGGAGGGAGGGAGGGAGGGAGGGAGGGAGGGAGGGAGGGAGGGAGGGAGGGAGGGAGGGAGGGAGGGAGGGAGGGAGGGAGGGAGGGAGGGAGGGAGGGAGAGAGCGAGGGAGAGAGGGAGGGAGGGAGGGAGGCACCTGGAGGGGCGTTTCGCCCTGCAGAAGCCCGGTGTTGTTGACGAGCATCTCCCCGTACTCGCCCAGACACCACACCGTCACCACTCCTAGACTCTCCTGCCACACCACACACAGCACATGCAGCATGAGGGAGTGGCGAGGCACAGATGCCCGTCAGAGAGGGCGCAAGCGATGCAGCATGAGGTAGTTGTGGAAGCCAGGCGATGGTGATGCATGCATGCAGGCAGGCAAGGCTGACGAAAGTGCTTCAGAGGTCAGGAGACGGGTGGGCGACGGGAGGGAGAGGGGAGGGCGAGGGGAGGGCGACAGGAGGGTGAGGGGAGGGCAAGGGGAGAGGACGAGGAAAGGGCGGGGAAGTGGGGGAAGTGGGGGGAAGGGACAGACCTGGCCCTTCCAGGAGCGCATGGCATGGAAGAATGAGCGCACTGCGAAGCCCTGCAGCTCAGGTGCGTTGCTGATGAGCACCACCAGGAAGCGGATCACGTCATCTGTTACATACTCCCCTGCCTGGCACTCACACACACGCACACATACGCGCGCACACATACGCGCGCACACACAGAGGGAGAGAGGGAGAGAGGAAGGCACAGTGATGTGTAGGTGCATCGGTTACAAATAAGCACGCAGGAAATGGTGGCGAGTGAGTCGAGACACAAGCACGGGTGTTCCTCAGTTGAGGAAGGACAAGACAAAAGGTGCACCGTGCAAACATGCAAGGTAGGTTCAAGTGAGGAAAGGGTTGCTGGCGAGGAGAAGGGACGGGAGGGGAGGGGAGTGGAGGGGAGGGGGAGGGGAGGGGAGGGGAGGGGAGGGGAGGGGAGGGGAGGGGAGGGGAGGGGAGGGGAGGGGAGAGGAAGGTTGGGAGGGGTGGAGAATAGGAGAGGGGGCATACCTCGGTCATGACTCGCAGCATGATCTCCACATGGTACAGCTTGCTGGGCGCGTACCTGCATGCACCACCATGCATGCACACCTCCCTCCACCCCCCTCCCCCCACATGCATGAACACCGCCCCATGCACACGCACACCCCACGCACTCGCATTCCCCCATACACACGCGCCCCCCTTGCAACTCCCCCCACCCCCCCACCCCCCACCCCCTCCCCCTTCCACCCCCCCCACCCCATCCCCCCCCCCCCGTTCCACCCCTCCCAACCCTCCCTCCCCCCACCTCCACATCCTCCCCCCCCCCCCGCACGGCTGGCAGGGCACACACACCACAGGTTAATGATTTCAAGCGCCTCAGAAAGGCGTTCCAGGACACATGGCGGACAGCACAATCCGGGGTGAAGGAAGGCGGGCAGCACATGATACATAAAACGACAAGTGGAGGGGAGAAGAAGGGAGATGAGGAAGGGAGGAAGGGGAAGCGGGAAGGGGGGGAGAGGGGGGGAGGGGGGGGGGGGGGGGGGGAGGGCGTGGGGGGAGGGGCATCGTTGCACGAGGGCGCAGATTTTGAAGGTAAGACCGGGCTTGAAGTGCATGGCACAAGCAACGGGATGAGGGAAGACGGGCAGCACATGGCACACAAAACGACAGGGGGATGGAGAAGGGAGAGGAGGAGGGAAGCGGAGAGGAGGGGAGGAGGGCTTGAGGGTGAGAGGGTTGGGAGCGCAGCACCATTGCACGAGGGCGCAGATCTTTGAGAAACGGAGAACAGCAGGGAGTGGGGTGGAGAGGGCGGGGGGAAAGCACACCGTTGCACGAGGGCGCAGATCTTGGAGGTGAGGTCGGGCTTGAAGTCAGAGTCAGCGGCGCGCAGGTAGTCCAGCAGCTCGCGTGTGAGCGCCTTGAGATTGCCCTCGTTCACCAGCGCACACACCAGCTCCAACGCCCTCCTCCTGATGGAAATGTCCGAATCCTGCTCGTGCAACCATGCACACATGGGGGGGAACGGAAGAGGGGGAGAGAGGAGGTGAGCGCCTTGAGATTGCCCTCGTTCACCAGCGCACACACCAGCTCCAACGCCCTCCTCCTGATCGATATGTCTGAATCCTGCTCGTGCAACCACGCACACATGAGGTGGAGGGCGGGTGGAGACGGGAGAGAGGACGGTCAGTGTCTTGTGTCAGGCTGTGACAGTCCACAGCGTGAAAGGGGAATTCACAGAGGGGGTGTTTAAGTGAGGGTGGTATGCGGTGGCGTGGGAGGGGGGTAGGAAGGGTGGTGTGGGAGGGAGGCAGGCAGGAGGCGGTGGTGCTTGCCTTGACGCATTCGACGATGGTGTTGCGGTGGCGCTGCACGGCCTGTGTGTCCACCGCTACCACCTTGATCAGCGTGTTCAACGCCACGTACCTGCCATGCCACCATGCATGCACACACGCATGCATCCGTGCACCCATGCATAGTAGCACCCCCCCACACACACCCATTCATCCATGCACCCAGGTATAGTAGCACCCACACACACACACACCCACGCATCCATGCACAGTAGCACCCACACACACCCCCATGCAAGGCAACACCAAGACCCGCAACACCGTCCACATTTCGGCCCACACGTCAGCCGCCACCCATAGCCGATGAACAGCTACAGTGCTACGAGGAGATGACAATGGAAAAAGTTGACAATGCAGATATAGTGGACACAGCAGTGCGAACGTGCGTGAGGAGGGGCGGCGCGGGACGGGGCGGGGCAGGGCGGGAGGGGCAGGCTGGGGCAGGGTGGGTTGGGCAGGTTGGGGAAGGGCAGGGCACGGTGGGGCAGGGCGGGGCAGGGCGGGTAGAGGTAGAGTACCGGATGTTGTTGTCACGGTTGGCGAGGAAGCGGCCGAGGATGTTGATGGCGAGCACACGCAGGCCACCAATGGCCTCCACGCCAAAGATGGTGTGCACACACTCGTACAGAATCGCGTTGCCCGTGTTCTTGTTCGCCTCCGTGTTCGTTGCTACCTGTGAGGGCATCCCACATATGCGGGACGGGGAAAAGAAGTGCAGAGGTTGAGAGGATGAAGGGCTAGAGGCAGTGAGGGAGAAACGTGGATGCAGATAATTGAGACTTGACAACAGCTGATGAAACGACAGTGCGGGAAGTGATACCTGCGCCAGCACGCCTGTATGTCTCTACCTGAGAGAAGACGTATCTACCTGAGCAAGGATGTCGCTCATGATGTCGCTGGCGTCTGGGTCGCCCTTGCCGAGCAGTCGGAGCAGGCGCAGCACGCGGATCTGCAGAAAGGGGTCCGTGATGCCGCCCACGTCATACTCAGGCGCGTACCCGCTCACCACCAGGTTCTTCAGAATGCGCACCAGCGTCGGCACTTGCTGTGAGGGGGACGGGATGGGAAGAGGAAGGGTGGTGAGAGAGCAGAGAAGGAGAAAACGTGTCAGTCAGCCTGTTCATGGCGAGCGGTCAAGCCAGCACCAGCTACTTTGCAAGTGCTGCCACGTGGTATTGATTAGCTTGGCAACACCCTCACAAGCTCCAAACCTTGACAAGCTTCACTCTATGAGCCCCCTTCTCAGAAGAAACTTGTCGGAAGAAACTTGTCAGAAGAAACTTGTCAGAAAAAACTTCACCAGCAGCGAGGGATGCGGTGGGTGGAGAGGGAATAAGACCATGCGGAAGTAGTCGAGGGCGGGGGGGTGCGTGACGCAGAGCTGGATGGCGAGTTTGGTGCCGGACAGCAGCACGAGCAGGTGAGGGGGAGGGGGGAGATGGGGAGAGGGGGCCGACCTTGCGGAAGTAATCAAGGGCGGGGGGGTGCGTGTCGCAGAGCTGGATGGCGAGTTTGGTGCCCGACAGCAGCACGCCGTGGTGCTTGTCCTGCAGCAGCCCCGACGCCGGCCCCAGCAGGTACTCCGCTAAGTCCGGCACCTTGCGGATGATGCGCACCGAACACAGCGCCGCCTGCACGCGCGCAAGAATGGTGGAGGGATGGGGAGGGGGAGGGGAAAGGGAGAAGGGATGGGTGCGGCAGCAAGGATTGAGTGTCGGTCAGTGGTGATTCGAGCGGAGGACGGGTGAGCGGCGTCAGTGAGTCCATGGGGTACAGCAACCAGTCTCGACTGCACGCATGGATCCCCAATGGTCGTGCAGGCAGGCAACTTGCGGAATGACCTTTTTGCGGATGTAGGAGTTGTTGCTGTTGAGCAGGCGCTCCACCTCGGGCGCGAGGTCGCGCGCCATCTCGCTGGAGCAGATGTTGCCCAGCGCGCACAGCGCCAGCCCGATTATGAACTGGTTCGTGTGGTTCAGGTCGCTGCGGGACCGGGGTGGAAAGGGGTCGGGAGAGAGGGGGGAAGAGGAGAAGGACGGATAATGGGAGCAGGAGGAGAAAAGGGAGGAGGATGCGAGGTCGTTGGAGAGGGGAGAGAGCGACCCGCGATCGCGTACTGGATCCAGAAAAAGGAGGACGTGAGGCCATTCGACTGCATGCACACCTGTTGTGCGAGAACCATTCACGAATCTAAAACGACCACTACACGTGAGTGCGAATCCACAGCGCAGGTCTGAAGAATTCGGTGTGAGGTGGGGAGGCGGCTGGAAAGCGCTCACTTTTTGAGGGAGTTGGTGACGAGCATGAGCACCTCCTGGCGCTCGTCCAGCAGAACCATGAGCCCCAGATACCCGATGCGCTTCTCCGGGAACCCCGGCGACGCGATGAGCTTGAGGCACTCCATCTGGCCGAAGTGCGTGGGGTAGCCGAGCATGTGGATGAACATGAGCTTCGCCACGTTGCGGTGCCGGTACTCGATGTCGTTCTCCTTGAACGCTGTCCGTAGATTCGCGCATTCCTTCGCGATCACCCCTCGCTCCTCGGCCGCTGTTTTACATGCGCGGACATTCCGGATCATGTCCCTGAAACGCCGAGCAACAATCGTTCAGGATAACTATAGGATCGAGATGCGTGTAAAAATAAAGCATTTTGGCAGATAACCTGCAAAAATGCACTGATTTGCCCGGAACTAACCTCAATCTGGTCCCTCCGAGCATCATTGTGACGGCTTTGTATCTTAGGCGTCAAAATGGTCTTGGTGGTGCCCCTGAAGACAGTAAATCGCTAAAGGAAAAAGGAAATTCGGGCACAGCCACTGCTATGTCACCAGCCGGACCTAACGATATGGGGACGGATCGCACGGGATGCTTGAGAACCTCCGGGGGGATACTAACAGGAGCCTATGTCGTACGAAAGTAGTTATCTTGTGACCTTGGGAATGGCTTCCGCAGTAACCAAGGTACAGTGCGAACGGTGAACCAATCTGAGTTGGTGTGCTCGACGAGCGGGAGAAACCCAAATTTCTGCAACGGACTTCCAAGGGAACATTGCAGCTGGGATCATACTCGCGTTACTGTCCGATTTGCTACTCTGTTCCGTTACAGTCGTACACAAAGTCCTAACCTTCTGTTATGTGTCAGCGATGACTCCTAGTAAGGGCCAGGGCTAGCATACAAAAATGAGATGCGTAGTTACGGTCATAGAAGTCTTTTGAGTTTACAGCCCAAAGTAAAGATGTTTTCAGAAAACGCCTTGCCACCTGTTTATGTCAATGTCTTTTATTCTTGGTGAAAGATATCGAATTGGCGACAAGATTGCACTATCTATTGTAGCTTTGGTAGACATGCTTACTCCGTCTTCTAACATGCAGCTGAGTTACTCATAAAGCCGGTAAACAAAATCAGGCGGGAGGAAATCCCCCCTTCAGAATTCGTTCAACCCGAAAACCATTTGGACCAGCAAAAGCACAAGTTTTTCGTCTGCCCGCCCCCCAAAACTCGATTCGTGCCTGGCAGAAGCAAATCTTTTGCCTCCGCGATGCGCGCGAGGCAGAGGATTCGTGCTCCCGCACATGCCGGGGCGCGATCTCAATGCCAGGAACAAGTCGCGCTCGTGGAGGCAAGAGGAGAGGGGCGCAATCCGCCATCACTATCACGCGATAGATGTGAGAGGTGCCAAATGCGTTGAGTGAAGAAAAAGCAGCCGTCTTGGCGCTCCCCAAAAGTGCACAAAGCAATCAAAGAAAGGAAACCCCAGCGCGATGCGGAAACAAGGAACGACAAGCATAGGAGATTGGGGGAGGTTTCACACAGGGCCAGAAGCAATCACGCTCTCTCGAGACTTTGTTGCGATGTTGACGTGACCTCCAGCTAAGACGAAAAAAATGACAACGACAGCAGTCATCTATACCATCTGACCACTTAGCAATTTGTGGTAGTAGTGCATGAGATAGTTACAGGTGACATTGACTTTAGACGCCGCTCGCGCGTGCACGAACGCGGCAATGGAGTTGGAGGGCATTTCTCGGCACGAGATGGAGATGAAGGCACTCACCGACAGCCTCTCGCGAATACGCCACCTGCGCAAGAAGCGAACTGGCCTTGATGCCGCTCCCTCCCCTGCCTCTATTCCGCATCCTTCGCCTTCCACTCCCTCCACTGCCACTGCTGCCACTGCCTCCTCCCCCTTCGCCTCCTCCGCCTCATCCCGCCCTTTCTTCCGCCACACCAGGCCCGCCTCCCCCTCTTCCGCGCAATCCTTACCTCCTCCCGCCGCCCGCCCAAGCTCCCTGGAGCTGCGCGCCGAGCAGTGCGCACCGAGCCACTGGGACGTGCGCTCGTGGCTGCCCGAGGGCCTCGCGGCCGCCAGTCAGGCGACGCCCGCCAGCGCATCACGCGACGACGCGTCGGAGCAAAGCGCGTCCGTCCGTGGCGACGAGAGCGCGGCGACCGAGGCGGGGGAAGGCGCGGCGAGCGAGGACGTGCTGCGGGCGAACGAGCGGCTGATGATGCACGTGGCGGCGTCGCGATGGGCGTCGCAGGGCGCTTCGGCGCAGGCGAACGCGGAGCATAGGGCACCCTCGCCCCCGCGCAGGGCGCACGACGCGGGGGAAGCGGACGATGAACGGTCCGATGCGACAGCGCGGTTCCATGTGGCGAGCGGAGCAGGCTTGGCGGAGGCGCGCGGAAGGGCGGAGATTGCTGGCTACAAAGGAGGGAAGGTGGAGGCAAAGGAGGACGACGACGGGGAAGCAACGAGCGGGGCAGGAAACAAAGATGGAGAGGCGGAGAGTAGGGCGGAAGGAAGAAACGAAACGTTGGTTGGTGCCGGCGCGTGGCGGTCAACGCGAGTCAACGAGTTGGAATCGGAGGACGACAGCTGGGACGCGCCAGACCCCACGAGCCGCGGTTTGTTCGGCGGCGGGTCAAGCGCGTTCTTCAACCCCCTCGCGGATGACGTGGCACTCAACCTGCGCTTGTCGCTCGACGACGATGATGATGAGGATGAGGAGGACGAGGTGGAAGACGAGGAAGAGAGAGACGAGGAGGAAATTGATAGTTACTTCGCGGGCGCAAGCGTGGAAACCGGAAGCCGTGGAGGCGATTCGATTGGAGTTTCAGCGGCAGGCAAGTCTGGCACGAGCTACGAGCGGGCTGCCGGTTCCGGCTCGGACGGTTGGGGGAAGGCAGCGGGAGGCGTGGGTAAGGAGCGACGCAGAGGCGGAAGGAAAGAGACGGGGAAGGCGGGAGGCGCGCGGATGGCGGCCGCGCGGCGGGAGTTGGAGGAGCAGCGCGCGGTGGTGGAGCGGAAATGGCGCGAGAGCCAGATGGAGATGAGGCGCGCCGCGCGCATGGCGGCTGCACTCAAAGCCACCATTGACTCCATTGACTGCGTTGACTCGCCCGCCCGTGCCGCCGCGCCTGCCTATCTCCCTGCGCCGCTGATTGCGCCCCCTCACGGCTCACTTGCAGCCCTGCCTTCCCCCGTCCCCGCTACTGCCGTTACTACTGGTGCGCCTGCTGCGCTCGCTCTCGCTGTTCCTGCGGATGGGGGCGGCGCGGGCGGCCGCAGCTTGAGTGACACTGGCGGGGGCGGCATGGGAGGGGAGAGCGTGGGCGCGCACAGCATGGGGTGCAGCAGGCGCGCGCTGGTGGAGGCGCGGCGGCTGCGGGAGCGGCTGGAGGGGCTGATGCGGCGCATGGAAGCGCAGGGGAAGGCGGACGTGGGCGGAAGCAGTGGCGCGGGGAGCGAGTGCGCGGAGTCGGAGGCGGAGTCGAGCAGCGCGGCGTCGTCGCGCCTCTCGTGGGCCGCCAGCAGCTCCGCCTCGCGCGGCGCCAGCAGCTCCGGCGGCAGCGGCGACGGCAGTGGCGGCGATGCGACATGGCTGCTGAAGCGCAAGATACTGCGCGACGCGGGCGAGGTGAGATGCGGGAGGAGTGTTGGTGTGTCTGTCTATACTCGTGCCGTGTTGAGCACTTCATTCGCCATGCCTGCGCGGTATTTCTGCCTGCTTCCTTCTGGCCGCCACCACGCCCTGTGCTCACTCCTGTCGGCCCCTCACGATCCAACGGTTGCAGATGGCTCATCTTGAGCGCACCATGGCTCGCATCGCCGCTGACGTGGCAACAACCAAGGACGTATCAGCGCGCATGGAAGGCCACGCGGTAGAGCGCGGGGAAGGAGACGACGAGGAGAGGGGCGGCGCGGAGACAGAGGCGGGAGGAGGGCAGAGGAAGAGGGAGCGTGGCGACGGGGGCGGCGAGGGCGGCAGTTCGGGCAATGATGGCACCCTGGCCGTGCTGCAGGTGAGAGCGGGATGTGGGGGTGTGGGATGGTGAATGCGCTCGTGTCACCCTTATGCGTCCTGCCACCTCGCTTGATTTCTCTCACTCTCTGCCACACGTCGCAACAACACATCCCATGTGCATTCCGCGACTTGAATGCTCTCCCTGTTTCCCCTCTTCCCATTCACCACCAGGCCCTGGCGGCGCGCATGGAGGGGGAGGTGGAGCGGGTGCGCGAGGAGCAGGAGGCGTGGCGGCAGCGCGCGGCGGTGGCGGAGGCGGAGGCGCGGAGCCTGCGGCGGCAGGTGCAGCAGCGCGACCACGCGGGGGACGCCATGTCAGCGTCGCTGCGCGCCGAGCTGGAGATGCTGCGCGCCAGCAAGGAGCGCACGAGGCGGCGCCAGCTGGCGGAGAGAGGCGCGTGGCGGCGGGCGGCGTACCAGCTGCGCGCGGCCATGGGGGGAGAGCAGCTTGCGCAGATCCGCGAGGTTGGGGAGGACGGGGGAGCGGGGGGAATGGAGATTGTGGGGGGGATTAGCAGGGGCAGCATGCGCTGGGGAGAAGGGGGAGAAGGCGGAGAGGGGGAAAGGGAGATGGAGGCGCTGACTCGCGCGCTGGCGCTGGTGGTGGCGACTGGCGCAACCGGGGGGAGCGACGGGGAGGAAGAGGGGGGATTTGGAGGGGGAGAGGGGCAACTGGTCACAGTGCGGCGAATGGCAGGTGCGCTGATGCAGGAGAGGGGGGAGGAGAGGGGGGAGGAGAGGGGGAGGAGAGGGGGGAGGAGAGGGGGGAGGAGAGGGGGGAGGGGTGGAGTCTGCAGAAAGGGCGGAAGCAGGAGGAGGTGGAGGTGGCAGAAAAGGCGGAGGAGCAGAGGAGGCAGCAAGAGGAGAGGGTGGAGGTGGATGGTCAGCAAAGATAAAGGATGAACGGGCGCAGGGCGAGGGAGAGAAGCAGCAGAGGCAAGGGGAAGAAGAGCAGGGGAGGCGGAAGCAGCAGCAGACAGAGGCGGAGGGACGCGGAGTTAGGGTGGGAGAGAAGGCGGAGGGCACCCTGACGGTGACAAGTGAACACAGTCAGCTCCTTCCGCCACCACCTTCCACCCTCGCAGCCCCGCCCGCACCTCCTCCCGTGTCACCAGCAGCACCTGCAGTTACAGTTGCATCAGCAGTGGCAAGTGCAGCAGCGGTGGTTGTGGTGCCACAGCTGCCAGCGCGGCGAGTAGCGCCGCCAGCGGCGCACAGCAGGAAGGGCGGGGGGGGCGCGGGCGTGCATGCGCTGGACGGCGCGCAGGGGGGCAAGCCGCGCGCGGGGAGGCGCGTGGGCGCGCGCAACGGGGAGGTGCGGAGCAGCAGCAGTGCTGCGGGGGCGATTCTGAGGCGGAATGGAGAGAGGGTTGAGGCGGAGGGAGGGGCAGAAGATGTGGGGCGAGGGAACGGAGAGGGGGATGAGGAGAGGAGGAGAGGGAAAGTGCGGCGGGTGGGGAGTGAAGGTGAGGCGGTGAGGAATGGGAGCAGGAGAGTGAGAGGGGATGCAGGGCAGAGGGGCGGGAGGGAGATGAAGAGAGGCGGGGAAGTGAGGCAGGGAGGAGAGGAGGGCCGTGGTGACGCCACGGGTGCTGCCTCTCATTCTAGTGGTTCCGCTGCAGGGCTGCACGCAGGGGCAGGCAAGGGGAGCGGCCTTGCAGGGGGGTATGAGCAGGGTGGAGGGCCGAGAGGTGAGGGTGTGCGGATGAGTGGTGAGACTGCTGGGGTGAGAGGGGAGGGTAGGGACGCGGGTTCAGGCGAGGCAGGCAGTGAGGTGGTGGCAGGGATGGTGTGGGAGGTGGCTCGGGTGCTTGACAACGAGTGGGTTGAGAGCGGTGCTGAGGGGCCACGAGGGGTGGCGGAGGCAAGAGAGGAGGCTGGGGAGGTGAGTGGCAGGGAGGTGACGGCAGTGGGGGAGAGGAGGAGCGGGCGGAGTGTGGAGAGGGAGGGAGAGGAGCGAGGGAGAGAGCAGGGCGAGGGACAGGGTGGGCAGCGGCAGCAAGAGGCGCACACGGCAGTGCGAGAGCGGGAGCAGGAGCGGAAGCGGGAGTGGGAGCGGGCAGCGGAGGGATCGGCAGTGGAGGGGCCAGCAGTGGTGTCACCATTTGCTACAGAGGAGCCGTTCAAAGCGGACCGTGCATCCCACGGGGAGGGGGCAGCGGGAGCGGAGTGGACGCGGCACAGTGCTGACAGCGCTGCTGCTGCTGCGCTGCTACCCCGTAGTGGTGCTGCTGCTGGTGGTGGTGGTGCATGCTCCAAGAGCCACGAGTGGCATGCACCTACCCCCGCTGCATCCCAGCACACACACTCCCCCCCGCACACCTCGCACACCTCCCCTCCAGACGCCTCTCCTTTCTCCTTCCCCTGTCTTCCCGCCTCCCCTTCCTCCACGTCCCCCTCCTCCCCCTCTCTCTCCCCCCATCCCCTGCTCATCCCCGCGCCCACACCCACTCCATGGGGCAGCGCCCTCCGCCCATCCTCCCCCCGCCAACTCTCCCCCCACGCCACCATACGAGCCACCCCCCCGCCCAGCACCCCCAGACCACCACCCCGCAGCCCTGGTGGCCGCAGCACGAGGCGCAGGAGCGACACGTGGGTGTGCTGTCTGGGGACCACCAGCGACACGCCCCCACCAGCAGTGAGCAGCAGAGGGCCGGCAGCGAGCAGCAGGTGTCAGATGCAGGCAGTGGGTGTGCTGCCTCCTCCTCCCTGCACTGCCCGCCCCACCCCGCCTTGTGGTCTCTGCACCCCCATGACCGGCCTGCTGGTTCCTTCTGGTCCCTGGCAGGCGGCACTGCTGCGGTACAGAGCGGTGCAAGGGAGTGGAGCGAGGTGGAGAGCAGTGGCAGCAGCAGCACCGTGCAGGGCGGGGGCCGAGATGGTGGAGGAGGGTGGGGTGGCGAGGGTGGTGGTGCGTGGAGTGCGGGAGGGGTTGGGGGAGGAGGGAGTAGAGGAGGGAGTTGGGGAGGGCAGCATTATCATCAGCAGCAGCAGCAGCAGCAGCAGCAGCAGGAGTCGTCCGTTCAGCAGCAGCAGCAGCAGCATCAGCAGCAGCGGAAAGGGCTGATGGGCATGCTATGGCGCAGTGGCAGTGGCAGCAGGGGCAGGGCCAAGGTGGGAATGGGCATGGGTGTGAAGGGCACGGGCACAGGCATGGGCATGGGTGTGAAGGGCACGGGCACAGGCATGGGCATGGGTATCCCACGGTCACTCAGTGACTCACGGCGCTCCACCAGAGTGACACCTCTGACGCCCACTGCTGCTGCTGCTGCTGGTGGTGCTCTGTCCGCCAGGGGCAGTGGTGGTTATGTTCATGGTCATGGCAGCAGTTATGATGGTGGTGGTAGCAGTGGTGCTGGCGGGGTGGGTGCAGGAAGGAGCGTGTGGGGGGCGGCAGGGGCGGGAGAGAGGCACGAGGGGTGGGAGGCGCAGGGGGAGGGGTGGGGGAGGGGCGTGCAGCAGGGAGAGGTGGGGAGCGGAGGCAGCAAGAGGCGGTTGGGGCTGGGCACTCTGAGGAGACTCATGTCCCGTGGGTAGGCAAGGTGGAGGTGATGGATTAAAGGGTGAGCAGAGGTAGAATGCTGTTGCATGCTGCTGCTAGCACGCTCGTGCTGTGCAGTGCACCAGATGCAGCAGGCTGTAGGTTTCACAACAGTTGAAAGAACAACAAGGCATGTGCTCATACCATTCTGCAGATAAGGGCAACAGTGTCATGGTACGGTACAGTACTAGAATGATGCTAATGCAATTTTTGCTATCCTAATGCTGTGTGCCCCATGCAAGGCTGTTGCTTACTCTTGCAATTCCCTACCAAAACCACATGTGAGAGTCAGCAGTCATCAAATCGCCCTAGCTGGCTTTAACACATGACTATGAGCACACTGCCACAGTGCCACCGACCACACCAGTCTTGTATGCTTCTTGGAAAGCCCAGGGCAGCAGAGAGAGGGAAGGAGCAATGCACGCTCTACAGGACAGCCCTCAGCATGCCACGCCATGGTGCCAGCGTGGGCGGCTTGAAGAGTGTCCAGCACCCACGCGCCTCACCATGCCATGCCCTTGTGTCATGACTTAGAGCTCCGCACTGCAGTGTGCCTGTGTAGGTGCTCCACACTGCAGCCACTGGAGTGAATCACACCAAGCTGCGGGCCCTCACACGCCTCAGGAAGGTCCCCCTTGGCCCCTTCACCCCCAGCCGTGCGCATCACCTCACTGCCCCTCCTTGCCCCCATCAGCCCCATTGCCCGCGTTGCCCCCGTTCCCTTCTGTGCCTGACTGCTTGCGCGAGTCGAGGAAGAGCGTGACGGGGCCGCTGTTGGCTATGTGCACCTGCACTCACAGCACGGGCCAGAAGGGAAGGGAAGGGGAGGACGCATGGGGAGGGTTGGAGGCGTGGTGGCACGAATGGGGGTGATGGTGGGGTGAGACATCCCCAAGGAGGCTGACAGGCTGGCATTTGACATGCATGCATGAAAGCACACCAGAGAATGAACCACACTAAACCACACCACACCACACCATTCTCATCCTGGAACCATCCCACACAACCCTGACCCCTCCTTCCCTTCCCCCCCTTCACATCCTTGAAAACCCCCTCACCAAGCACCCTCCCCAACACCACCCCTCACCAAGCACCCTCCCCAACACCACCCCTCACCAAACTCCACCCCCCACCACCCCTCACCAAACTCCACCCCCCACCACCCCTCACCAAACTCCACCCCCCACCACCCCTCACCAAACTCCACCCCCCACCACCCCTCACCAAACTCCACCCCCCACCACCCCTCACCAAACTCCACCCCCCACCACCCCTCACCAAACTCCACCCCCCACCACCCCTCACCAAACTCCACCCCCCACCACCCCTCACCAAACTCCATCCCCCACCACCCCTCACCAAACTCCACCCCCCACCACCCCTCACCAAACTCCACCCCCCACCACCCCTCACCAAACTCCATCCCCCACCACCCTCCCTGACCTCCATCATGGTGCCAAAGATGCCGTCTGCGGTGGATGGGCGGGCAGGGCAGGGCTTTTGAGACGTCTCGAGCACCCCTCCTACCACCCGCCCTGCATCCACATCCCCCTATACCACCCACCCTGACCACCCCCAGCACCCACTGACCTCCATCATGGCGCCAAAGATGCCGTCTGCGGTGGATGGGCGGGCACAGTACAGGGAGGCACCGGGCACACACACACACACACACACACACACACACACACACACACACACACACACACACACACACACACACACACACACACACACAGGAAGGTTGAGCATGCAGGCATATGGGGGGATGTAAAGCATGGAGAGTGTGGGTTGCACGGGAGAGAGGGGGTTGGAAGGGAGAGTGCCGGGAAAAAGCGAGACTATGGGTTGGAACGAAGTGGCACTACTTCCCGTCTGCGCGTGCGAGATGCACTCTCCCCTCCCCTGCCTGCTCCCATGCTGCACCTCACTCAGTCTTGACGTGGGTGGGTGGGTGAAGGCGTGGCGCACGCGGTGAGATGATATGTGAGTTGAATGAACTGAAACACCGCACCTTTAACACGGTCGGGGTGGTAGGCACGGCGCACGCGGTGCACCAAGGCATCATAGAAGGCGCTGGCCTCCTGCAGGGGGCCTATGAGTCGACTCAAAACTCAGCTGAAGCACGCACCTTTGACTCGGTCGGGGTGGTAGGCGCGGCGCACGCGGTGCACAAAGTCATTGTAGAAGGCACTGGCTTCCTGCGGTGGCATGGCGATGTGGAAGTCGAGCTTGTTGCCCTTGGGCTGCCCGTACAGCGTGAACTGACTCACTGCCAGGGGCAAGGGGGGAAAGCAAGAGGAGACACTGGGGCTGCCAATATGGCATTAACCGACACTAAGGCGCCATGTGCGCCAAGGCACCGCTGGGGCGGCATGGCGACGAGGAAGTCGAGCTTGTTGCCCTTGGGCTGGCCGTACAGTGTGAAGTGACTCACTGGCGCGGATGATGGGGGGGCATGGGTGCACGGGGGCCAGAGGGGCGAGGAGCGAGGGGTGAACGGCCACTACCATCGTCATGCCATTGCCATTTACCATCGTCATGCCATTACCATTACCATTGTCAAGCTATTACCATTACCATCGTCATACCATTACCATTACCATTGTCATGCCATTACCATTACCATCGTCATGCCATTACCATTACCATTGTCATGCCATTACCATTACCATCGTCATGCCATTACCATTACCATTGTCATGCCATTACCATTACCATTGTCATGCCATTACCATTACCATCGTCATGCCATTACCATTACAATTGCCATTGCCATGTCATTAGTAGGCGTGGCCATGGATGGATGCAGGGGGGCGCACGGGGTGAGGGGCGAGTGGAGCGCAGCCAGTTGTGTGCCCCACCAGGCATGGAGTGGATAGTCACGCGGTGGGAGAATGGGGTATGAGGGTAAGCGGTGCATGTGCAAGGGGGGTGGAGTGGGTGGGTGGGAGGGTGGAAAGGTGGAGGGAAACGCACCTAGCAATACCTCATAGCCTCGTTGCGACACCTGCACGCACACAGAGGCAGACAGACACGAGGCACGCACACATGTGAATGGCGCGGGTGCAAGAGGGCTGCGGCATGGCTGGCTGAGATGCACGGATGATGGCAGAGGTGAATGAAGCATGTGATGTGATGCCACCCCATTCACTCTCCCGTATGCATGTGCATACAACATTCCACTCACTCCCACGCCCCTCACGCGTTCGCTCGTCACTCACGCTCTGGTCCCACGCCTTGCCGGTCTTCTCATTGGGCCACAGGCGCAGATTCAGGATCTTGCGACACCTGCTCGCCCGCCACATGTGCGTGAGATGCATGCGCGCATGAGCGCATGAGGGCATGAGAGGATGCGGGCATGAGTGCATGAGGGCATGAGAGGATGCGGGCATGAGTGCATGAGGGCATGAGAGGATGCGGGCATGAGTGCATGAGGGCATGAGAGGATGCGGGCATGAGTGCATGACCATGGATGGTTGGGGCGAAGGGGATGAGTGGGAGAAGAAATCACTTGCATAGGCACCACCCCCACTGGCATGCGCGCATGATAGTTCCAATACCCATCACTGCCACCTGCAAAACAAACTCCTGTCATTTTCGCCTCCCACACCACCTCACAGCCCACATATCATCGCCCCCTTTCCCCCACTCCCCACTCCACTCCTTTCCCCCATTCCCCCCCTCCCCCCTCACATGTAGTCGCAGTCCTGCTCGCCGTCCCCCGCCATCACCCCCACCAGTACGCACAGCCCCGCGCCGATCTCCGCCACCACGCGCCCCTCCACCTGCGCGCGCCCCCATGCCGCACACGGGGAGGGGGGAGGGGTAGCGCGGACGGATGGGCGGCGGAGGTTGGCGGATGCGGTGGGGAGGGGGAGGGCGGGAGAGACCGGACGTGGGGAAGGGGATGAGGAAGCAATGACCGTCAAGTGCTGGAAAGGAAAGTACACGGAAGCGGAAGCGGAGGGAAGAGGGGAGCGGGCATGGCAGCGGCATGCGCACGCACCTCGACGCGGGCAGAGGACACCCGCTGAAAGACGGCGCGCATGGCGCCCCGCTCGCTCCGCTCCGCCCTCTCCGCTCCGCCCGCTCCGCCTGCTCCGCGCGGCCTGGTGCACGCTTGAGGAGCAGCGAGACTACCTGTTGTGGCACTGGCGGCTATGACGCGTGACGACGGGAATCAGCCCCAGAACTCGTCCCTGCTCCTCCGCACCACTAGAAGTTTCTTTGAGCCTTTCTGCGACAGCGCGGTGCTACAACGGCCTACCCGCCATCGCGCATCTTGGTCTCACACGTCGCACAAGCGCATTTCGCTAGGTGGTGCTGATTGCGGCGCTTCTTCAATTTGATATACTTCGCTGTAAACTGACTCCATAAGGTTGAGAAACCAAATAGTTCAAATTCATTACAAAATGTACATTTACGCAAGGCAGTGGGACAAACCCTACAAGCTCACAACCACTTCCTTCTATAGCAAGCGCCGCACTCAAACTTGGCATCACCTCACACAATAAATATTGCGCTACTGCAACAGCTTGGTGCGATATGCGGCAACATTTCTTGAAAGGGTCCACTCAAGACGTCTTGAAAGTAATTAGGCGTGGACGTAGGATGCCACTAGTGTGGCGTCATTGCTTGTAGGGCCCGGTGTAGCGAACCCAAAAGGCAGCACCACCTCCCCTGCCCCTGGCAGCAGCAATTTTGTCATCAACGTAGAACCAGGTGAAGAAAGGGTCCTTGCTGCCCGCCTTGCCCTCCCCTGGTACCCTCCCCTTGTCCTCCTCCTTTCCTATTGCAAACTGCCATGTGGCGACAGGGTGAAGAGTGTGGCATGGAAAAGGGGAGGGTTGGGAACACGCAAGGGATGACTTTTGAGTCAAGTTGAAAGCATGGGTAGCAAGCAAGGAGTGAAGGGAGAGTGCAGGAAGCAGATTTTGGGGCAGCAGAAAGAGGAGAGAGAATGGCGGAGTGCAGGAGGCATCTGCAAGGGTGCGTCAGGCAGGGAGTGCGGCTTCTCGCTCCCACACTTGCCAGACTGACCTGGAAGGACGGCATGCTGACCTGGAAGGGCGGCAGCTGACCTGGAAGGGCGGCAGGCTGACCTGGAAGGGCGGCAGGCTGACCTGGAAGGGCGGCAGGCTGACCTGGAAGGGCGGCAGCTGACCTGGAAGGGCGGCAGCTGACCTGGAAGGGCGGCAGCGGGCCGAGCTTGAGGGTGAGCGTGTGGAAGGTGAAGGCGAGGCGGCGACCGGTGAAGCCCATGGGGCCCTGAAAGGTGAGGTAGCCCACCGGCCCCAGAAACACCCCGTTCTCTATCTCCATCGCCTGGCGGGGAGAGAGGTGTGGGGGAGAAGAAAGGAAAGGGGGAGGAGGGGATGGTGTGGAAGGGATGTGTTGGGGCGCATGCGATGTGAGGGGTGGTAAGAGCTGGAATGGAAGAATACAGTGGGCGCACAGAGACAAGCAGGTGATGGGGAGGTAAATGGGGTGTGCCGAACAGCATAATGGCAGGGAATGAGGGGATGATCGTGATGGCAGGCGGATGAGAGCAGTGGCGATTGCGAGGAGGAATGTTGGGTCGCAGCAGCAGCATGCAGCAGTGACAGGTGAATGGAATAATGAATGCGCGTGGCAGCAGCAGGAGCGGAAGGGGAGGGGGGCAACTCACGGTGGCATCGAATCGTTGGATGGCGGGGATGGGAAAGTATGAACCCGTGCCCTCCCGCCCTTGGCCGCCTTGCGCACCTGCTCATGGGGCATGTGGGGGCATGGGCATGGGGCATGGGGCGTGGGCAGGAGTACACACAGGGCACATGGGGGGCCACATGGCACGAGGAGTGGAAGAGAGGGCATATGGCATGCGGCATGTGAGCATGGCATGCAGCACAGCATAGCGCCACCATCCACGCACGCACACACCCATCGCTCCACGCACGCACCTCGCCGCTACCAGCGGTGAACACGAGCTGCCACATGTGTCCAGGCGATGCCGCCCCTCCCAGCGCCGCCAGCCACGCCTTGCTCTCCTCCGCGCCCACCTTGCGCGTCTCCAGCCGCCGCAGCGCTGCGAACACCGCCTCGCCCTTCACCTGCTTGCTGCGCGCCGCCTCCGCCAGCACCGCCACCGCCGCCTCTATCTCCGCCGTTTCTGCGCTCCCGTCCTCCGCGCGCGCACCTGCGGAAGCTGGCGCGCGGGAGGGCAACGGGAGTGGTTGGTTTGGCAGGGGCAGCGCAGGAGCACGGTATAGGCAACAAACGCAGAGCAACGAGTGAGTAGCGGTTGCAGGCGGAAGGAAGACACGCCCGCCCGCACTCCCGCTGGCACGACGCGTGCATGCACAATGCATGAGGGCAGAGGCACGCAACCTACTGGCGCGAGCGGGCAACCCACGCGAACGCGCAATCCACAGGAGCGTGTCGCTGTTTATCCGCGCCTAACCTACGGACGTACCAGTGACGACTACGCGCCGCCGCGCCGCCACCGCTGAAGGAGCTCTTACGGCGGAAAGTCGGCTCAAGCCCGCACCGCGTGGCACGCGCGCACAGCGCGCCGATAGTGACGGGGATAGCGACGCGGGCGCCGCGAAAATCGGAGTTGGGCGGCAAAGAGAGAGCGGCTGGGCCATGGCGTGCGCCATGGAGGCGTAGCGCGGTGGCGAGACGAGACGTGGCTGGTGGTCGCTGGATTGCGCTGAGGTGGAACGAGGGTGTGAGGTGAATGTGTGTCGGGTTGAAGTGAATTGGGACGCTGTGAGGAAGGCAATGCATACCTCACTCTTTGCACGGGCCTATGACGAGGACAACTACTAAATCATATAACGAACTTAATACAACAATTTCGATTTAGCCACCGTATACACCTATTTACAAAATATGCAAGCGGTAATGCTGGCGCATTTGCCAGGTGGCCCATCCTGGAGCATGCCATGCACGCTCACTTCAGCGCACCCGGGGCTTCTTGCGGCGCAAGGGGGCGGGCAGCAGAGGTCCCATGGCGGCACCATAGGAGTCCCGTGCAGAAGTTGCAGGTGTAGTAGAAGCAGCTGGCTCTAATGAGGTGAGGGTGAGAGAGTGGTCGCTGCGTGCTGTGGGTACAACAACCATCCCACCACCACCCCCCTTACTCTCTCCCTCCTCATCCACCCCTTCCGTCCCTCCAACCACCTTCTCCCCCGCCTCTCTGCACCCATCCCAACCACCTGTGACCTCATTACTTGCCACAACGCCCCGTATCTCTTCCCGTTCCACACCTCCCGTCTGCTCCATCCACAGCTGTTGATCTTGCTCTCCATTTTCCTTCCCCCCTGCCTCCATCACCTGTCCTTTGCCATGCTGCTCCTCCCCCACACAGAACCCCCCGCCATGCATGAACGCATGCAGGGAGCTGCACGGTGCTCCCCCCTGCCCTGTACTCGCTTCTGCCGTGTGGGCTTCACCTGAGGCGTGACGAGGGCAGGTATGCTGGTTCCCTTGCTGAGCGCCATGCTGTTGCTGCTCTGCCCCATGCGAGTGTCGCTGCACCACCCATGTGCTCCCCTCACTCTCACCTCTCCCATGCGCCTGAACTGCTGCGTCCCCCTTCCCTCCTCCCTCTCCCCCGCCTGCGCCTTCCACCCCTCCCTGCACACCTGCTTGCTGTTGGCCGCTTTGCCCTGTGGCAGTGAGTGCACCAGTGAGTGAGGGTGTGATTGCGCCTGTGCCTGTGGGAGAAGTGCGTTGGGCCACAGGCCGCGCAGTGAGAGGTGAGGGCAGGCGCTCGCTGGGATGCCGCACGGCGTCATCACCATCACCATCGCTACCTCCAAGAGCATCAACATCAGCAAGGTCTGCATCGCTCCCACTGCTGCTCGAGAGCGAGTCACTTAGGGAAACCCCATCAACCCCATCACCACCCAGCACACCATCGGAGTCTCCAAGCTGCAAGAGTGGCCGCTTGGCCTCACGTCTTGGCTGCACCCTCACCGCCACGCCAGGCCCAGAACTCAACATTTTCCCCACTATGACACCCTCAGCCCCTCGCATGCTGCCAGCATCTGTGCTCTTCTCTGCTGCACCTTCCTCCATGCCCCTGCCATGCGTCTCCTCCCCCCCAGACCCGCCTGAGGATGCCCACTCGCCCTCTGCCTCCTCCGCCGCATCTCCCCTTTCCCTCCTTACCCCACGCCCTCCCCTTCTTCCGCCTCCCCTCCCCCTCCCTCTGCCTCTATCACTCGCACCACCGCGCCCTCTCCCTCTCCCTTTCCCTCCTCGTCCCTTCCTCTCCCCGCCCACAACAGCAACAGCAGCACCCTTGGCCTTCCCACGCCTCACACCAGCCGCCCCACCACCACGACCACCACCTGATGCTGCTGCTGCACCATGCTGCTCCCTGTCACCAGAAACATCCCCATCGCCCGCACCATCAGCAGCAGCAACACCGGCAGCAGCAGCAGCATTAGCAGCGCTGGCAGGGGCATGAAGGAAATGCTCCTCCTCTGCAGCGTCGTCCTCAGGAGCAGTGACCCCTGAGGCCGGCAGCATGAGGTGCCTGGCAGCGCTGCCAGCGATGCCCGTGACGGCCCGCTGCACGCGGCGCGAGCGGATCTTGGCAAAGCGCTGCTTGAATGAATAGAACGCCTCCAGCCGCTGCTGGGCCTGGTGGTGTGTGGGACGAGGGAGAGAAGAGGGGAACGGGAGATGGGAGATGGGGATTCGTATGAGGGTCCATACCCGAGGCATATGGGCAAGAAATTCCAATGTGAACAGCGATGGTGGCGTGGCACGCCAGCACACACACCTGGAACAACAGCATGGCATGTGGCATGTCATGCAACATGTCATGCAGCACAGCATGGCATGGCATGGAATTGGGGGTACCTGGCGGGAGGAGGCGGCTTTGACGACCGGCAGCAGCAGTGCATCCGCCTTCTCTGGCGCCATGCCCAGCTTTGCCACACACAGCCTGCCACGTGGCATGCAGGGACAGGCGGACGAGGGAGCATGACAGAAGGGTTGACAGGGAGAGCAGAAGAAGGAGCATGCAGGAACGTGCTAGCTACTAAAGGAGGAGGCACATAAGAGACAATGAAGGAGGAGACAATGACATGCGCCAAGACAGAGAGAGACGGCAAAAAAGAAGGGTTGAGGGCAAAAGAAGGTGGAGGGAGAGCAAGGAGAGAGGAGGAGAGGAGGCGAAGGGGGAGGGGAGGCGCACTGGCGCAGAGCAGGGAGGTCGGGCGGGTGCCAGGAGGGAGGGGCGGTGCTGCGATCCACGTGGGGGCGGTTGAACGCCACTGCCACCGCTGGGCTGGGGAAGTTGCCCGGTACCACCCACTGCCTCCGCACCCCCGCCTGCCAAGGATGAGAGACAGATGGCAAAACAGGAAAGAAGTGGCAAGGGAAGGTGGAGGGAGAGCCATGAAATGCGGAGGGTGGGAGGCGGATGGAGGAGATGCGAGGGAGGTCGGGCGGGTGCCAGGAGGGAGGGGCAGTGCTGCGATCCACGTGGGGGCGGTTGAACGCCACTGCCACCGCTGCACTGGGGAAGCTGCCCGGTACCACCCACTGCCTCCTCACCCCTGCCTGCCATGGCCAGAGGGAAAGGTGGAATGGGGTTGGGTGGGGTGGGAAGGGGTATAATGAAGGAGATGTCAGTGGTGTGGCAGGGAATACAATCAACATGTGATACACACAACAGGACAGGGTACGATCGTTGCTCCTTTGTAAAAGCATGAGAGGTAAGATACAAGTCATGAAGCATGTCTGGCAAGCGCACTCACATGCGTGGCTTCAAACTCTCGCCTCCGTGCCTCAGCTAGCGCCCTCCTTGCCTCCCGATCCTCCTCTGATTCCTCCTTGCCCTTCTCCTCTCCCTTCTTGCCACTCTCTCCCTTCCGCTTTCCACTCCCTTCCCTTCCCACCCCCTCGCCTTTCCTCCCATTACCTTTCCCCCTACCTCCTTCACCCTCCTCCCCCTCCTCCTCCTCATCCGACTCCTCATCTTCCCACCACCTATCGTCCTCCTCCCACCCATCAGCCCCGCCCACAGTACCACCCTCTGCACCGCCTTTTGCACCCCCAGGCAGCAGGTGGGCGAGGGCAGCAGCATGGGGGGAGTCAAGCCAGTGGCGGAAGCGTTGTAAGCCGCGTGCTCCAGGGAAGGCGTGAATCACCTCGATGGCGTTCACCACTCCGATGCCACTGCGAAGGATGAAAGGGGAAGGGAGGGTGGTTATGAGGTGACATTTGAGTCGACTCAGAAGTAGCTCTGCAGCCCACGTGCCCCGGGGAAGGCGTGGATCACCTCGATGGTGTCACCACTCCGATGCCACTGGGAGAGGAAAACGGGGGTTACGAGGGTTCTTATGAGTCGACTCAAAAGCAGCGCTGTAAGCCGCGTGCTCCAGGAAAGGCGTGGATCACCTCGATGTCGATGGCAGAAGAACAGATGGCGACGGCGAGAATGAGGTGCGTGGCAAACACGCACTGCCTCAATTAAGTCCCATGGCCCCACCTGATACACCACTGTGTGCTCACCTGATGCCAGGCGTGTAGTCACAACCCAATAGCATGGCCATGCGCACAAGGTGCCTCCTGCTGAGCCCCAACTCCCTCCGCACGTCCTCAGCACGATACACCTCCACATAGTGCTTATCAGAGAAGAGGTGGCGCCAGAGAGTGGGAGCACCGAAGAGCAGCGCATCACAGTCGTCTGACACCACCGCGTCCACCACTCCGTGCTGTGCCAGCCATGCACACTGCGCCTCCGCCTCCTGCGGTGCTACTATGTATGGCACCCCGCACTGCTGCAGCAGCTCCTGGGGGGGAAGGGCGGGGGAGAGAGACAGAGGGAAGGGAGACGGGAGGGACAGGGCGACGGGGAGACAGAGGGAAGGGAGGCGTGAGGGAGGGGTGTCGCCAGGCCAGAGGGTGGGAGCACCGAAGAGCAGCGCATCACAGTCGTCTGACACGACCGCGTCCACCACCCCGTGCTGCGCCAGCCATGCACACTGCGCCTCCGCCTCCTGCGGTGCTACTATGTATGGCACCCCGCACTGCTGCAGCAGCTCCTGGGGGGGGAAGGGCGGGGGAGAGAGACAGAGGGAAGGGAGACGGGAGGGACAGGGCGACGGGGAGACAGAGGGAAGGGAGGCGTGAGGGAGGGGTGTCGCCAGGCCAGAGGGTGGGAGCACCGAAGAGCAGCGCATCACAGTCGTCTGACACGACCGCGTCCACCACCCCGTGCTGCGCCAGCCATGCACACTGCGCCTCCGCCTCCTGCGGTGCTACTATGTATGGCACCCCGCACTGCTGCAGCAGCTCATGGGGGGGGAAGGGCGGGGGAGAGAGACAGAGGGAAGGGAGGCGCGAGGGACAGGGCGACGGGGAGACAGAGGGAAGGGAGGCGTGAGGGAGGGGTGTCGCCAGGCCAGAGGGTGGGAGCACCGAAGAGCAGCGCATCACAGTCGTCTGACACCACCGCGTCCACCACACCATGCTGTGCCAGCCATGCACACTGCGCCTCCGCCTCCTGCGGTGCTACTATGTATGGCACCCCGCACTGCTGCAGTAGCTCCTGGGGGACAGGGTGGGGGAGAGAGACAGAGGGAAGGGAGGCCCAAGCACGGGCGAGAAAGGAGGGAGCGAGGAGTGAGGGTAGAATTGATGTGGGGCACGAGTGTTGGGGGATAGAATGGATGGCAGAGCGACGGGTTGGGGGAGAGCTAATGCAGTGATAGTTCCCCCACCTGCACGTCAGCCAGCATGCCATCCCACCTGCACATCGGCCAGCATCTCGGAGGTGACAGAAGCAGCGTCCCGCTCGTGCGCCCTCTTCTGCTGCCTCAGCCGCCGCCCCTCCCTCTCCACCCGCCCACTCTCCTCCTCCCACCGCCTCCTCAGCGCCGCCTCCTGCTCCTCCCACTCCCCCTCGTCCATTTGATCCCCCTCCTGCTCCCCCTGCTCCCCGTCCTCAACCTCCTCCTCTTGCTCATCCCGTTCCTCTTGCTGCTCTTGCTGGTCCGCGGCCTCCTCTGCCTGCTCCTCCTCCTGCACGCCCAAACGTGCAATGTAGAGTCAGAGGACAATTCACATACCACTATGGTCGTCGCACCAGCAGCACGCTGGGCATTGTCGCAGACAGGCGCACACAGGTGCAGACGGGTGCAGAAAGGTATGGCCCAGTGAGTGCCCACACGAGGAGGCTCACATAGGAGAGCGTGAGGCAAAGGGGATGCGGTATGGATGGGCGATGGGTGCATGCAAGGCGCACGGCTCACCTGCACTCGTCGCTGGCCCTCCCGCATCTCCTCTCGTAACCTTCTCGCTTCCTCCTCCAATGCTGCTCTCTCCTCCTCCACCTCATCCGCTCCCCCCTCCCCTCCCTCCACTGCCCCCTCTCCCCTCCCTCCTCCCTCCCCTCCACTCCCCCCAACCTCATCCCCAAACTCCACTGCACCCCCACCCTGCGCCCCTTGCTTCCTTCCCCCCATGTCCTCCAGGCTTCTTCTCACAGCCTCTGCCACCTGCTCCTCCTCCCACGCACTCCCACGCTTCTGATCGCTAGGAAGAGAACCCACACCTTCCCCCCTGCATAGGTAGAGGAACTTAGCGCCGCAGATGCAGTGGCGGAGGCAGGTGTAGGGGCAGGGGTGGTTGCGGGGATGGGGACAGGGGTGGGGGTAGGGGGAAAGGGCGGGCCAGGTTGGGGGGATGGGGCCGACTTGCTTGGGTTCACGTGCTGCACTGTGAATGGTGCTTCCTCCCACTCCACGTCAGCTTCCATGTGCACGTCAACATCATCTTGTGAACCCCTCCCCTGCAAGCCTCTTTCATTAGCATCCCTGGCCTCTCTTTCCCCCACACCCCCCCTGTCTGTCTGCGCCTGCTCCTCCCCTCCTCCGTCCTCCCACTCCACTTCCTCCTCCTCCTCCTCCCCGCACTCCTCAGCATCCGACTTTCTGACATGTCCTGGCGCCGAGATGGCAGCAGCGGGCGGCGTGGGAGCAAGTTCAGTGGAAGGAGCAGCAACCGCACTGACCATGCTTGGTGTGTGCGTTGGATTTGTTGCTCTGACCTTCCCAGCAGCCACGAGCATGGCAAACAGCTCATCCTCGTACTCACCCCCTTCTCCCTCTTCCTCACCTTCCCCACCTTCCCCCAACCCCTTCCCGCCTCCTTCTCGTGACCCCCATCTGCTTCTTTGTTCCCCCTCCCGCACACACCATCCACTGTCCCATCATCCCACTGCACCTCCTCGTCCTCACCTCCTTGCTCTTCGCCCTTTCCCCGCACGCCCTCACTCCCCTTCATCATCTCTCCTCCTATAACCCTCCCCTTCTCCTCCTCGCCCCCATTCCCCGTGCCCATCACCCTCTCCTTCTCCCGTTCGCGCATGAGAACCAGGTTCCACTGCAGGTCACGGGTCATGCGCACGCCCATGCCTCGCACTCGACTCACCCGCACCCTGCCCTGCTCGTCCCGGTATGTCGGCACACTCCCACCCGCCGCTGCACCTCCTGCTACCTCCCCCTCTGCCCCTCCTCCTACCGCATCCCTCTCTGCTGCCTCTGCTGGATCGAAATCAACGTCAGCAGCATTGTGTGCTCCAGTGCTGCCAGCAGCAGCACCGGAGCCACTGTCACCAAGAGGACGGGCATCACGAGCAGCCCCGGTAGCGGCAGCAGCAGAATCTGTACTGGCAGCACTGACACCTCTCTGTGTGGGCTGAGCCATGCCTTCCTCTGCCACCAGTGCCAAATACGCATCCTTCTCTGCCTCTCCCCCTCTTTCCACCCCAATTTTAACGTCACCTCCCGCACTGTCCCCATCCCTGGCCCCACCAGTCACACCACCCTTCGCCTCTCCAGCGCCCCCCACTACCTGTTCCCCCAGCTTACCCCTGCTCCTCCCCCAGCTCACCGCCTGCTGCAGAATACCAGGCAGCTGCAGCCCCTGCACGCCCCCCTGCCCCCGCCCTCCCCCCCATGAGAAATCCCGCAAACCGTCCCTCTCACACTCGTCCTCCGCCCCCTCCTCGTCCTTATCCCCACCCACTTGCTTCGCCTTGCCACTTCCCCCTCCCACCCTCCTCTCCTCCCAAGCATGTTCCCCCGTCCACCGATGCCCCCAGGCGCCCTTCCCCTTGCCCCTCCCGCGCAGCCCCCTTCCGCCCCTGCCCTGTGCGGGTGCTGCTGACAGTGGGGGCAGGCGCCGACCCAAGGGAGCGTCACTGCAGGCAAAGGGGGAATGGATCAGCAAAAGCGGGCGGAAGGGGGGAGGGGAAATGGAGGCGAGACAGAGCAGAGGGGAGAGGAGTGAAGGAGGAGGGGGGGAGTATGAGAAGGGGAGGAAGAAGGAACAGCACTCGCACACCAAAGGACACAGGTACCACCTATGAACGAAACCCACAGTTCCAAGCCCATACACCACCCGCGCCCTGCCCCACTCACCCCGCGCGCTGCCCCACAGAGGAGGTAAACACAAACTCCCTGCCAGCCTCAGATGCTATCCGCCCCCCACCCACGCCCCCTCCACCCCCCCTGCCCGCTCCCACTCCTTCCTCCGGCTCTGCTGCTCCTCCTGCTCGCCCGGCCACACCCATGCCAGTCGCTTCCCCTCCTGATGCCCCCACTGCTGCCACGGCAGCAGCAGCAGAGGACGAACCAGGCGTGGAAGTGGGAAGGGTGGAAGCAGCAGCAGAGGAAGAAGCAGCGGCAGCGGCAGCGGGGGCAGAGGAGGCGAAGGCGGAGGCGGCGGCAGAGCGAACTGAGTCGATTTGGCGGCGCATGGCCGCCGTGCGCAGATAGGCGCCCACCTGCAGCGATGAAAACTCCGCTGGCGCCTGGTGGAGGAGAGAGGGGTGGGGGGAGAGGGTACATGGGTGAAGGGGAAAGGTGGGGAGCATACTACCCCGCATGGCAGCCGTGCGCAGGTAGGCGCCCACCTGCAGTGATGAGAAGGCTGCTGGCACCTGGTGGCGGAGAGAGAAATAGTGGGGGGAGGATATCGGGGAAGGGAGAGGTAGTGGGAGGAAGGGATCCGCACAGGTGGGCAGGAGCATACTATCCCGAACCTCATTCACATATACCCCACGCAACCAGCTTCGCAGTGACGTGGACAGTCACTTCTTCATACCTTCCCCACTCCCATCAAAATCAGCATTCCCAAGCCACATTCTCTCACTGCCCTCTCCTGATATCGCCCCTCCCTCCGACCTTACCAGCCTGCTCTCACCTTGGCCGCTTGCTCGAACTTATGGCGATTCTCAGCCACCAGCTGCTCGCGCATCTGCGCACGTGCAGTGCAAAAAAGGGGGGAGGGAGGAGGGGAAAGAGCAGCGCATCATGTTGCAGCAGTGGGGATTTCAAGAAGAGCCTTGGTCCGGGGGCGCGCCTTGGTCCGGGCGTGCGCCTTGGTCCGGGCGCGCGCCTTGGTCCGGGCGCGCGCCTTGGTCCGGGGGCGCGCCTTGGTCCGGGGGCGCACCTGGGTCCGGGGGCGCGCCTGGGTCCGGGGGCGCGCCTTGGTCCGGGGGCGCGCCTTGGTCCGGGGGCGCGCCTTGGTCCGGGGGCGCGCCTTGGTCCGGGGGCGCGCCTTGGTCCGGGGGCGCGCCTTGGTCCGGGGGCGCGCCTTGGTCCGGGGGCGCGCCTTGGTCCGGGGGCGCGCCTTGGTCCGGGGGCGCGCCTTGGTCCGGGGGCGCGCCTTGGTCCGGGGGCGCGCCTTGGTCCGGGGGCGCGCCTTGGTCCGGGGGCGCGCCTTGGTCCGGGGGCGCGCCTTGGTCCGGGGGCGCGCCTTGGTCCGGGGGCGCGCCTTGGTCCGGGGGCGCGCCTTGGTCCGGGGGCGCGCCTTGGTCCGGGGGCGCGCCTTGGTCCGGGGGCGCGCCTTGGTCCGGGGGCGCGCCTTGGTCCGGGGGCGCGCCTTGGTCCGGGGGCGCGCCTTGGTCCGGGGGCGCGCCTTGGTCCGGGGGCGCGCCTTGGTCCGGGGGCGCGCCTTGGTCCGGGGGCGCGCCTTGGTCCGGGGGCGCGCCTTGGTCCGGGGGCGCGCCTTGGTCCGGGGGCGCGCCTTGGTCCGGGGGCGCGCCTTGGTCCGGGGGCGCGCCTTGGTCCGGGGGCGCGCCTTGGTCCGGGGGCGCGCCTTGGTCCGGGGGCGCGCCTTGGTCCGGGGGCGCGCCTTGGTCCGGGGGCGCGCCTTGGTCCGGGGGCGCGCCTTGGTCCGGGCGCGCGCCTTGGTCCGGGGGCGCGCCTTGGTCCGGGGGCGCGCCTTGGTCCGGGGGCGCGCCTTGGTCCGGGGGCGCGCCTTGGTCCGGGGGCGCGCCTTGGTCCGGGCGCGCGCCTTGGTCCGGGCGCGCGCCTTGGTCCGGGCGCGCGCCTTGGTCCGGGGGCGCGCCTTGGTCCGGGGGCGCGCCTTGGTCCGGGGGCGCGCCTTGGTCCGGGGGCGCGCCTTGGTCCGGGGGCGCGCCTTGGTCCGGGGGCGCGCCTTGGTCCGGGGGCGCGCCTTGGTCCGGGGGCGCGCCTTGGTCCGGGGGCGCGCCTTGGTCCGGGGGCGCGCCTTGGTCCGGGGGCGCGCCTTGGTCCGGGGGCGCGCCTTGGTCCGGGGGCGCGCCTTGGTCCGGGGGCGCGCCTTGGTCCGGGGGCGCGCCTTGGTCCGGGGGCGCGCCTTGGTCCGGGGGCGCGCCTTGGTCCGGGGGCGCGCCTTGGTCCGGGGGCGCGCCTTGGTCCGGGGGCGCGCCTTGGTCCGGGGGCGCGCCTTGGTCCGGGGGCGCGCCTTGGTCCGGGGGCGCGCCTTGGTCCGGGGGCGCGCCTTGGTCCGGGGGCGCGCCTCGGACCGGGCGCGCGCCTCGGTCCGGGGGCGCGCCTCGGTCCGGGGGCGCGCCTCGGTCCGGGGGCGCGCCTCGGTCCGGGGGCGCGCCTCGGTCCGGGGGCGCGCCTCGGTCCGGGGGCGCGCCTCGGTCCGGGGGCGCGCCTCGGTCCGGGGGCGCGCCTCGGTCCGGGGGCGCGCCTCGGTCCGGGGGCGCGCCTCGGTCCGGGGGCGCGCCTTGGTCCGGGGGCGCGCCTTGGTCCGGGGGCGCGCCTTGGTCCGGGGGCGCGCCTTGGTCCGGGGGCGCGCCTTGGTCCGGGGGCGCGCCTTGGTCCGGGGGCGCGCCTTGGTCCGGGGGCGCGCCTTGGTCCGGGGGCGCGCCTTGGTCCGGGGGCGCGCCTTGGTCCGGGGGCGCGCCTTGGTCCGGGGGCGCGCCTTGGTCCGGGGGCGCGCCTTGGTCCGGGGGCGCGCCTTGGTCCGGGGGCGCGCCCGGCGCGCCTTGGTCCGGAGGCGCGCCTTGGTCCGGGGGCGCGCCTTGGTCCGGGGGCGCGCCTTGGTCCGGGGGCGCGCCTTGGTCCGGGGGCGCGCCTTGGTCCGGGCGCGCGCCTTGGTCCGGGGGCGCGCCTTGGTCCGGGGGCGCGCCTTGGTCCGGGGGCGCGCCTTGGTCCGGGGGCGCGCCTTGGTCCGGGGGCGCGCCTTGGTCCGGGGGCGCGCCTTGGTCCGGGGGCGCGCCTTGGTCCGGGCGCGCGCCTTGGTCCGGGGGCGCGCCTTGGTCCGGGGGCGCGCCTTGGTCCGGGGGCGCGCCTTGGTCCGGGGGCGCGCCTTGGTCCGGGGGCGCGCCTTGGTCCGGGGGCGCGCCTTGGTCCGGGGGCGCAGGATTATCAGCTGCAGCACACCCACCTGCACCATGAGCTGCAGCACCCACCTGCACCATGAGCTGCAGCTGCAGGGAGGGTGGGAGCGACGCCAGCACTGCCGGGTCCAGAGGTGCGCCTCCCCCAGATGCCACCTCCGGCTGGTGGAAGTGGCACCAGCATATGTGGGGCATTGGGAGTGGGGAGATAATGGAAGTTAATTAAAAAATATATTAAAAAAAATATGGTAAGTCCTTTACTCTAACCAGAGACAAGCAGAAGCACGGACAAGCAGAAAGTCATGCATGAAGGGAAAGAAATTGATTGAGGGATATGAGCATGAAACGCATACCCACAGCCATGTGGTAGGAGGCACGTACATACCAGGAGCGCCATAGCTTCTTCGGTCAAGTCATCCTCATCACTGTCCTCGTCGCTCCCACCATCACCACCCACCATTCCCACTGCCGTCCCGGCTGCCTCACCACAGCCAGCACCACCAGCAGTATCAGCAGCAGCAGCAGCAGCAGCAGCACCGGCATCACGAGAGGTGCCTGCCCCATCCCGGGCAGCACCAGAGGCGCCCGCGGATTGCCCTGCCCACTCAGCTGCCAGCGATGCTGCCAGGCTGGCAGCAACAGAGTGAGCATAACGGGAGAGAAAAACGGAACGACAAGGTGAGGAGAGATGCCGTGAGGCAAGAAGGCAGGCCGGACGAGGACGAGAAATAAGACCTACAAGCTTGACCTTTGGAAGGAGACGTACAGAGCATCGGCGTGTTCCTGACCCCTCTTCAACTCCTCCTCACCGCGGCACTGCCTCTCTGCTGCCATGGCTCCTTGATCGCCTCCCCCTCCCCCCTCGCCCTCCTGCTTCCCGTCGCCCACCAACTCTTCCACCTTCTCCTTCCCCTTGCCCCCTCCCCGCGCCCCTCCACTTCCCTTGCCCGCCGCCCGCCCCCTGCCTCTCTGCTGCAGCTCCTTTGCTGCCTCCTCTAGCTTGCGCAGCCGCAGCTGCCGGCAACAAAAGAATAAGGGACAAGGAAGGCGAGGAGCGTGGATGGAGCTGAGGAAGATGAAAGATGAAAATTGAGCGGGAAACGCCAAAAACGTTTCTACACGATCATCAAGCTTCAATTCCTTCTTGCAACCACTACATCACCTCCGCTATCCCTCTTTTCTCCCCGTCATCTGCGACCCCCTTCCTTCCCCCCTCCTCCCCCCTCCCCCCTGCCCGCGCGCACCTGGTTGAGCAGCAGCTTCTCCGCGGTCCTGCGCAGGTTGATCTGCGCGTTCTCGCGCTGGCGGCGGCGCGCAAGGACGGTGCGGCGCTTGAGCGCGGGCGTGGCGCCGTCGAAGACGATGAGCGGGCGGATGCGCAGGAAGAGCAGCTTGCACACGCGCCGCAGGAAGCCCAGCAGGTGCGCGCCCGGCAGCAGCTCCCCGCGCTCGTCGCGCATCGCCTTGAGGAACTGCACCAGCCATATGCTCGCGTCTGAGCATGTTCCGCCGGGGGGGAATGGGGGGCGGAAGGGGGAAAGACGCGCGGTTAATACAGGCGACTGAGCCGTTGGCAGCCGGTGACGCGGAGCGGAGGGAGAGGCTACGTTGGGCGAATCTGGAATAAGAAATTTCGCACCGAATCGTAATTAGGCAGGACTGAAAAGAGCATGCTTGCGTTCAACGAAGGAAGCACGGAGTACCGTGAATCGATGTTTGCTCACGGCTAATGCTAAATGAAGCCACGCGCAATGTGCAAGCATTTCTCTTCGAATAGGATTTGTAGTATTGACGCAAGCTAACGATAAGAAGATACGACTCGATGGAACACAACCCGATAAGCGCTGGAGTAGATTCAACGTGAATCAAGCACAATCAGACAATGAAGATTTTCACCACAGCCGCACCGCGCAGCACGAACACCAACACGATTACACGAAACGAACCGCTGCACAATCCTAACACCGCGCGAATCCGCTCGATTGGAAGTTGGAACGCACCGACAGCCACCGTTTTGTTGGCGAGGGCCTCAACGGACACCCGCCGGCCCACTGGAGCCAGCAGCTCCCACAGGCCCTGCACCCCCATGGCCGCACAAACACGGGCTCCAGATGCTAGCTCACGCTGCGCGACCTCGGGTTTGCTACTCGTACATCGCGGTCAAACCGGTCGCTCCGCAAACATCGCTGCGTCGTTACGTGTCCGCTCGTTCACAAATGCTGACGGGTCCACTAAGGGATCTGAAGTCCGTGCGCAATTTTCTTTTGATCCACTTTCCTAGGACCCGTTCGGGTCAAATCCTCTCTGATAAGCAAGCGTGCTTCTGACGCTCGATGTGGGAAAAAGGCTATAAAACTCTTGTGCTTCTGTTCGCCTTTTGCGACTCGACAGCACAGAATGCTGAGGGTACTGACCAACTGACGAGAGCAGGTAGTTTCCCCTTGTCAATTACGAAGTAATTTGACGGGGGTTGTGCAGGATGATTGAAACATAGAAGTGTGCTTCACTACTGGCTTGTGTCGAAACGTCTCGTTCTCAATGACGCGTATAAATCTTTAAGCCAAGGCAATGTGATATGTCCCTCCAACTGCACCTCGGGTCCCTGTAATCCCTAGATCTTGCCAGCATGAAACGTCGGTAGCTAGAAAAGGCACATACGGTAGCCTCACTGAAGCCCTCGTGTGACGTCCCTAGGTTTTCGCACCATCGATTCTTCCTGCCACGCAATGGAGAGGTCCGAGCGGGGCAGTGGTATGGTTATCCGCCCTTGGCGTGAAAGGACAGCTGCCACGTCTGAATGGGACCACCTGGAACTTTTCGAGTGGGACCACCTCGCACTGTCCAAATGCGACAGCGCCAAGCTGTGTCCCTCTCTCGCCTTCAGAACGGATCTCCGCTCACGTTTTTCTCTCACAAAGTCGCCTCGCTCTGCCATCCTTTGTGGCGTATTCCTCTCTCTCCTCCGAGCACACCGGCAGCCCGCACGGACCGGAAGGTGGAATCGTGGATCTCAGCCATTGAAGGGGATCTCAGCAAAGGGGATCTCAGCAATGTACGACGATTTCTCAAAGCTCCAAAGGAGAGCTTGAAATCATCGCTCAGTTTCGCTTGCTTCTGGACCAAAGAATTCTGCCATAGTATAGTTTTGCTATTCGTTATTCCTTTCCTGGCCATGCTTCTTGAGTTCAAGCTGGCTGCTACCCTCTTACCTTTGCTGTTCTCGTCGGCACCGACGTCAATCTTTTGCGGCGTTAGGTCGATCTTGTGCGCTGGCCGCTTGTCCCTCGACACTCCTGTCCTACCATACCCCTTCTGCCCCTTCCCTGTCCTGTCCTGTCCTGCTCCCTTCCAGCCTCCTCCCCCAACGCTTCTGGTAGCGGGGGTAGTGGAGCAGCAGCAGGGGTCAAGTGGCCAGCGCAGGAAGGGAAGTAGCTGCTCGAGCCAGCCAAGAGTGGAGCACAAAGGCCACCCCTCGCTTCCTCCAGACTTTCGCATCGCTCGTCTATACTACTGAAACTACACATGGATCCTTGGAAGAGTATGTAAACAGTGCGCCTCTTGAATCATCAATGCGGTTCGCAGTCACATTGTGTAGCTTTATCATTCCGGCTCGCATCCGCTCAGACATATCTCGAGAATGCTTCTGACCTGTCATTTTCTGCCGTTGCTCTTTTTTTCACGTTTTATTATGTCCCTTCCCTCTGCTCACAGAGTTGGACTGGGAGGATGCGAATGCTTGGCTCGAGAAGCACGGCCTGCAGGTAGCGGACATTAAAGAGGCGCGCGGCACCAGTCGCATGACGCTGACAGAGATCTTACGAGGTAGGATCGGAATGAAACCAGAACTTACCATCTCAGACAAGATGGTTCAAGGGGGCTGAGAGGGACGTTTCATAGAAATTGTGTTCTTTTTTACGTCATTCCAATGTTTTCTCCCTTTTCACCCTTCGGACTTTGACAACTCGGACAATGAGGAGGATCAGACGAAGCTGATTGGAGCGCTAGTGGTAGCAATCTACGAGGAGGTGAGGTCAATATGTTAGAAATCCCACTCCTACCCCCTCCACCTCCCCCCCCCCCCTCCTCCTCCTCCTCCTCCTCCTCCTCCTCCTCCTCCTCCTCCTCCTCCTCCTCCTCCTCCTCCTCCTCCTCCTCCCCCTCCTCCTCCTCCTCCTCCTCCTCTTCCTCTTCCTCCACCCCCTCCCATTTGGAATAAAAACGTCGCCACTCGTACCTCTCCCTCTCCATTGTTTTCCAGAATGCAGAGATGCACAACGTCTCGCGCACGAATAGGGAATCGATTCGTTCGAGTCAGAAAGTGATAGAGGCAGAGCGCGAGCGGAGGATGGTGGCGGAAATGCAGATCGCTGCACTCGAGAGAGGTGTGGAGCGTCTGCAGGTGAAATCGGCATGGTGGGCTGATAAAGGTTTGGGGTTTTCCATGCTCAACCCATGAAGCCCTTATGCTCATGCCTATGGGCGGGTGTGTTGGTGTGCAAGTTTGAGGAGGGAGGGAGGGAGGAGGGAGGCAGGGAGGGAGGGAGGGAGGGAGGGAGGGAGGGAGGGAGGGAGGGAGGGAGGGAGGGAGGGAGGGATTAGACTTGCCATGGTAGGTTCTAGAATTGCCTTTAGACTTGCCATAGTGGATGTGATGGCGGTGGATGTGGTGGCGGCTGATGTGGAAGCTCTTTCTTGCATGCACCCCCTCCCCATAACCCCCCCCCCCTTATCGTTCTCTTCTTTTGTGTGTGGCTGTCTAACCCAGGCTGTGCACTCTTCTTGCTTACAAGTGACATAAGTCATTGTTGGGTCAGTCACACTCCCACCCCCCCACTTGCACATGCCAACACTATCACCGTCTCTTCCCCATGGAGTGCAGGTGAGGGGCTCGCTGCTCCGCACGCCTCGGTCGAATGAAGAGGAGGAGCATGGAGTGGCGCACTCACGCACCCCACACACACCGGTGCCTGCACCCGCACCGGTGCCTCCTGCACCAACACCTGTGCTGGCACCTTCACCGCTGCCTGGTGTTGCGGAAGGGGAAAGGGATCCTGCCGTGCCTACAGCACCACATGCTCCAAGGAATGAACTCCCTGAGGTATGAGTGTTTCACCTCTCATTACCTATTTCTCTTCGCATCTCCCTTGCACGCTCTTCCTTACCTTCCCCTTTCTCCCTGCCCATCCTATCCCCTTTTTTCCGAACCTGCATGCGCGAGATTGGCAGTGTTGCTAAATATAATGGTTGAATGGTGTCAGTGGTTACAGCGTAAGCCCCCATCCTTCGGCCGTGTCCACTCTTTATCTCATCCCACATCATTGTTGATCCGGCCTCCTTGTTTGTTTCTCTTGTGGGCTGCATTACACCAGGAGGTGGCGCAGGTGCTGCATTATGCTACAGAGGAGGACGACTTGCAACACGCGGATGTGATGCTGCATGAATTGGCAGCCAATAGGTACCGGATGCAGCAGGGTACAGAGCGACCCAAAGGAGATGTGAAGAAACTTAAAGAACCGGTGAAGAGGTTGAAGAAGAACAGAAGGGCAGCCAAGGTAAAATTGGAGGGCCGTGGGCAGCAGTAATGGTGAATGCTGTTATGCATGGATGGTATTGTGCTAGAAGTTTCATACCGTAATCCCCCGTATATAGGACCCCCCCCAGTTGTAGACCCCCGGGTCTATAATACGGACCCGGGTACTCTATTCGAGTACATCTGAGTTATACCCCCCTAAATGGCTCCTAACATTATAAGACCCCCCCCACATCCTAGTGCGGATTTTAAGAAAATGCAAGTGAAAATGGTCATATCCATGTTGATTTAGAGAAATCACACCCATAAATGCACATGCACACCCATGCGGTTTTTATTTCATCTGATCCATCAGAAACGTGTTTCCAGTTTTGTCTGAAACTGAAACATATAATAACGCGATTTCGGACAGTGACATGGCGAATCTGTGCCCTGACAGGGCGAATCTCTACCCTGACAGGGCGAATCTCTACCCTGACAGGGCGAATCTCTTCCTTGACAGGGCGAATCCTTGTCCTGAGTACAATTCCCTGCTGTGACCTTCGAAAGATGTGATTACATCAGGAGCTAAAAACGGAGCAGTTACAAATCACTTCTTTGAGCTCCAAATCTACATTCTTATAAATGTCAAAATGAAAAGACCGGGGTCAAATAAAAAAGACATCATTTAATTATACCCCCCAGCCTTTTTAGGGGTGATTATCATAAGACCCTAGGGTCTCATATGTTGTGTCTGATAGCAAGATTCAAATACTTTCTACAAATGTGAGATGAAGGATTGATTGTATCCACGTGCACAACTTATCATGGCTACATGCTCCTTTCATCAACCCGTTTAATCAGTGTGATCTGGAAGACTCAGGTTTATTCAATGCCAGACGTTGTAAGCCTGCACAATGCATGGAGAAGAGCAGAACCTCAAAACAGTACACGTGGTAGAAACTAGCTACAGCCAGCTACAGCTCATCTCTGACGTCTGAGTCCACGGCTTTGCTTTTCTTGGTCTTGCTCTTCTTCTTTTTCTTCTTAGATGCCTTCTTTGCTGCCTCCGCCTCTGCTGCCTTCCTGGCAGCTTCCTCCTCTGCCTCCTTGTCCGCCTGGCATGTGACAGAAAGAGGGAGGGGAATGAGCAAGGACGGGAGTGAGTGCGGGAGGACAGGGGTGAGTGAGAAGAGTAACGCCTGATGAGAGGAATCAGTGCAATGGCTATGTGCTGCTGACCTGCCTGACAATGTGTTAAGCTGCAATGGCAATGTGCTGACCTGCCATGGCAATGTGCTGACCTGCCATGGCAATGTGCTGACCTGCCATGGCAATGTGCTGACCTGCCATGGCAATGTGCTGACCTGCCATGGCAATGTGCTGACCTGCCATGGCAATGTGCTGACCTGCCATGGCAATGTGCTGACCTGCCATGGCAATGTGCTGACCTGCCATGGCAATGTGCTGACCTGCCATGGCAATGTGCTGACCTGCCATGGCAATGTGCTGACCTGCCATGGCGATGTGCTAAGCATCAATGACAGTAGTTGCGTAACAGGGGTCAGGACAACATGTTTTCACCTGACAGGGATGCCATGCACTGACCTACCAGGGCCACTAAATGCTGACCGGCAGAATCTTGTCCTCCTTGGAGGCCACTGCATCGGCATCCTCCACCTGTACCGTGTGGAACGTGCACGCGTGATGCCATGAGGTGACATGCAAAACAGGGCCACCACTATTTTCTGACCTGCAGAATCTTGTCTTCCTTGGAGGCCACAGCGTCGGCATCCTCCACCTGCTCGCTCATGATGTCCGCCAGATCAAACTCCTGGGATGTGTGGGCGGCACAGCGCACACGCGTGATGACACGCAGTGACAGGCGAAAGAGGGGACGTGAGAAAGACGGGACATGTAGAGGAGGGAGGTTACGGAGAGTGGGGTAGGTACCATAGGTTGCGATGAGGTGCGAGTGGTGTGAGATGGTGTGCAAAAGTGGTCCGATGGGCTCATGGAACCAAAGGAAGACAGAACGATTTTGAGAATCATATGCAGCAGCAGCAGCAGCAGCAGCAGCACGCACCTCCTCTGCGATCGGCTCTGGCTCTGCTGCCTCCTCTGCTGCCTCTGCTGCCGGGGAAGACTCCACTGAGGGGCCCGGCAGGAACGATGGCAGGCGCTGGGGGCAGGAGGGCGTTGCGGGGAGCAGCGAGGCGGAGAGGGAAGCAGAGAGGAGGGAGATTTGAAATAGAAGAATTTGAGGAAAGAGAGCCTCAGGTGTTCAGCTTTAGCAAGAAAGAATGGTCTTCCTGGAAAGAATGGATTTCCGCCTTTCACTCACATCAAGAGGGAAGGTGCGGACGCGGCCTGCCAGCAGCGAGTCCAGGAACGCGTCGAGGATGGGCGGGGAAAAGGCCTCCGGCAGCACGGCGCAGCGCATCTTGCGCGGGCTGACCACCACCGCTGTCGGCAGGTCCTGCTGGCTCACGCCTAGCTGTGGCAGCACTCGAGATGCCAACGCCTTGTGCCGGCCCGCGTCCAGCCACATGAAGACAAACTGGCCGCCCCTCAGCCACTTGGCTGCCACCCGCTTGAGCTGGTCGAGAGGGGCGTCGGTGTTGAATAGACCAATCACACACAGACTGTGGGAGGGGGGAGTGGGGAGGGGAGCGGGGAGGGGAGAGGAGAGAGGGCTGAGAGCACAGAGGTGGTAAGTGCACCTGCCAGTGAATAGGCACCAATCATTCAGCGGAGACCTGCTTGAGCTTGTCAAGTGGGGAGTCGGTGTTGAACAGACCAATCACACACAGCCTGTGGGTGCGGAGAGACGAGGGCGAGGAGAGGTGGTAAGTGCGCCTGCCTCAGCATTTGTAAGTGCCCTAGTGTGCGAGGGAGGGAAGGCATGCAGCAAGGCAAATGGCGTGTCACTGACATATCTCGCCTGACATGCAACCAACATTTGGGGTTTGGTAAGCGTAGCCTAGAACACGCCGATTATACTCCACACATTCCATTTGAAACGCACCGGTTGGAATCGACGCATTCCGTCTGAAAGACATCCTCCTGCCCCTCCTTGCCCTCCCCCAATGCAACTATCTCCGCTGTTGGCGCCGCAAACTGCCGCGCTGCTGCCACCAACTGGGACAGAAGGGAGCGAAGGGGGTGGGGAAAGGGTGGAGATGTGCCGTGGTGCCAGCATGACCACGTGACATTCGGCAGTTGGTATGAGACAAGGATAGCGCCGTGACCGAACCCCCCACAAGGATAGCGTCTTTGAGAGGGCCGGGGAAGTCGCGCACCAACCCCCCACCTGCATCACCCACATCCCCACCCTCACCCTCCCACCTGCATGAGCTGCGGCGCTACAGTGTGGTCTTTGAGCGGGCCAGGGAAGTCGCGCACTGTCAGCTGCACCTCGCACCCCCCACCCACCTCCATCGTGCATGGCATGTGACATGCACAGTAGGCTACCACCACCCCACCCTCAACCCCGTACCTGCATGAGCTGCGGTGCCACAGTGTGGTACTTGAGCGGGCCGGGGAAGTCTCGCACCGTCAGCTGCACCTCGCCCTCCCTCCCTGGACTGGGTGCTGGGAACATTATCGACATCTGCTCAGCTCAGTGGTGCAGCGCGGAGGAGAGGGATGGCGAGGGAAAAAGAGGGGTGCAGTGAGGGGGGTGTAAGATGCGGGAGACTGCAGAGGTAAGGGGACGATGGGACGCATATGAAACGTGAGGGGACTGAATCAGCATAGTAGAAAATGGCATGTGCTGGCATGGTTACAGCACAGGGATCACATTCACACAGCAGTGACACGCACACAGAGCACTCACGTGGGGGAACTTGGCAACTTTGAACCGCGCAACGACCTTCTTCTCACTCTCATGCACCTGGTGGGAGGGGTGAAGAGGGTGAAGGGGTTGAGGGGTGAAGGGGGTGAAGGGCATACAAGGTATGAGGGTGGAAGGGGCGTGAGGAACATGAGCCGGGGACATGCCACAGCTGATGGACGTTGGGCAGCAGCGAGCAACAGGGACCGTGGAGCAACAGCAACAGGGACCGTGGAGCAACAGGGACCGTGGAGCAACAGCAACAGGGACCGTGGAGCAACAGCAACAGGGACCGTGGAGCAACAGCAACAGGTGCTCATCATGCTTCCAGTGAGCAGTCCAGGCATGCATGTCGGCCATACATGGGTGCAGAGGAGCACACTTTTGGTGTGGGTGGTGGACAAGTGGGGGAGGGAAGAGGGTTTAGGGAAGGAGGCGCAAACAGCAAAGGAGGTAAGAGCGAGGAAGCACATACGAGGGCGAAGAGAGCGTCTTTGCGGAAGGTGGTGGAGAGCACTTTGTACATGCCAGGTGTCTCCCTCTTATTCGTGAACAGAAACACCTGCCAAGGGCGGGCGGGAAGGGAAGCGCATGTGTGGGAGGCACGGACGGCATGTGCGGGTGGGAGACACGAAGGAGCTGGTGTGCCACAGATGGCTCGGCATGGTTCGCACTCCACACTGCATCCTCAGCACCCCCACCCTACCACCACCCCGCCCTGCCCCTAAACCTACCCTGTCCTGTCCCCACCCCACCTTGGGCTGCAGGTGGTTGGTCTGAGCGAAGACCTCAAGCGAGCCAGCAGTGATGTGGCACCCTCGCCCTGTCCCTGCCCGCACCTACCCCCACCCGCTTATACCAACCCCAACCAAACCCCACCCCACCTTGGGCTGCAGGGGGTTGGTCTGAGCGAAGACCTCGAGTGAGCCAGCAGTGATGTGCCACCACCCTCGCCCTGGTTCCCCCCAACCATTTTGCCCCCATTCCCTGTTCCCACCCCCAACCAGCGCCCACCCCCACCTTGGGCTGCAGCGGGTTGGTCTGAGCGAAGACCTCGAGTGAGTCAGCGGTGATGTGGCGCACAAAGGAGTCGGGCGCAAGGGCATACACCGCTGCTGTCATGGCCTTGAGGGAGGATGCTAGAGGCATGCGCTGGTGGGGGGTGGGAAGGGTAAGATGAAAGAATGAGGAGAAGGAATGAGAACGGGTGAGAGAGGAACTAGCATGTTGACATGGCACAGATGGTTAGGAAATGTCGCATGTCAGCGGGGCGGCGGCCCTACGCTTGGTGCATTGTACCAATTGTACCAACGTCGAAGAACCTATGGTGACATCATTCCCGGCGTAGCATGTGAGCTCACCTCAGGTTCGTTCTCCTCCTTGTCGTCTCCCAAGGGAAAGAGCAGCGCCTCTCCACACGGCTCCTTCACCCCGTACTTGGTTGCGAGACTGGAGTGGAGGGACGGAAATGGGGAGAGGGAGGGGGAGGGAGGGGAGGGAGGGAGGTAAGGAGGCGAGAAGGAGAACTGGAATGTGCAAAAAGGAGGAGCAGGAATGCGCAGGGGAGGGGCTGAAGGAATGAGCAGGGGAGGGGCTGAAGGAATGCGCAGGGGAGGTGGGGCAAAGAGCAGCAACTGCCAACGAGCATCAGAATGCAGGCAAAAGAATGGGAGGGGCTTACCTCTTGGCATCTTCATCCGTATGCATGTCCAGCACTCCCACAAAAATCTGCCGTGCACGAGGGCGGATGGGGATGGATGACGGAGGGAGGAGTGAGAGAAGAGCGAGCGCCTGAGGGGCAACACAGAGATACGCCGTGCATGCACACGCCATGCTCCTCTCATGCCATCCATGCCAAACACCACATAACCAAAAGAGCGTAGACGATGTCACCATATGCCACGCCATGCACTACTGGTTGGTTGATTTAAGTTGTGACTCACCATGCCTACGAGCTCCTCTGCTGTCTTCTCAAACTTCTCCTTCACCTCCCTGCACTCCTCTGCACCGCACTCAACAGGGAACAACAAAGATTATGATGAGAAGACGTGAAAGATGAAGAGAGCAAACCAGTAAAATCAACATCGCAATCACTCAGCAGCAGAGGACGTGAGGGCCACCATCCACATCTCCTCGCACTGCAGCACCTGGCTGCTCACATTTGCCGCCCTCATCAGCCACACCCACCGCTTCATGAGGCGCCTCAAGTATCACTCACCGGCAGATGAGGTGAGTGCAACCATCCACATCTCCTCGCGCTGCAGCACCTGGCTGCTGAAATCACATTCGCATCGCAACCCACACCTGCCGCACCCACCGCTTCATGAGGCACCACAAGTATCACTCACCGGCAGAGGAGGTGAGTGCAACCATCCACATCTCCTCGCGCTGCAGCACCTGGCTGCTGAAATTCGCGCCCCTCATGTGCCGCACCCACCGCGACTGACTCTCCTCCCCCGCCGCCCCCGCCCCGCCCGCCTCCGCGTCGCCAGCTGTCGCTGAGTCAGCGGCGGGCTCGGGGGGGGCGGCGAACTGCTCGAGGAAGGCGGCGATTGGCTCGGGCTTGAGCGGACCGTCGTAGAGCTGCCTGGTGCCGTCCGCCTGGGGGGGAAGGGGGGGAGGGGGGGGGGGAGGAAAGGGGGAAAGGGGGGGTAGAGGGGAAGGGCAGAGGGGTTGGGGGGCAATGAGGTGGAAGCACTTTGTAGTCAACTCGGGCTTGAGCGGACCGTCGTAGAGCTGCCTGGAGCCGTCCGCCTGGTGGGGGGGGGGGGGGGGGGGGTGGGGGGTAGAGGGAGAGGGAGGGTGTCGGGGCAATGAGGTGGAAGCACTTTGTAGTCAACTCGGGCTTGAGCGGGCCGTCGTAGAGCTGCCTGGAGCCGTCCACCTGGTGGGGGGGGGGGGGGGGGGGGGGAGGGGGGGTAAAGGGGAAGGACGGAGGGGTGGGGGGGTAATGAGGTGGCAGCAGTTGGTAGTCAACTCAGAGAGTGGGCTGTCGTAGAGCTGCCTGGTGCCGTCCACCTGATGAAGGGAAAGGGGAAGGGGGGGCGGGGGGGGGGGGGGGGAGGGGGAGGGGGGTAGAGGGAAAGGGGGGAGGGTGGGGGGGGCAATGAGGTGGAAGCACTTTGTAGTCAACTCAGACAGCAGGCTCTCGTAGAGCTGCCTGGTGCCGTCCGCCTGGTGGGAGCAAAGGGGGAAGTGGCGGGTGGGGGGTTTGAGCTGAGTGCTGCCTAAATAAAAGAAGGGACGCAGGAGGGGAGGGGAGTCAGTGAGGTAGAAGGTTCTCATGGAGAAGGGAGAGATGCATGCGGTGCAATGAGGTGGAGTGAGCAGAGGGGTGTGAGGAGGGGTGCAGGGCACCTTGTGCAGGAAGAGCGCGGGGAAGGAGGTGGCGCCAAAGGAGGCCACCAGAGGCTCGTCAGTCGACTTGGCCTGCGCAAACACCAGCCTCTTCCTGCCATGCCATGCCATGCCACGCCAGGAGATGGAAGGTGAGGTGGCAATGGTGGAGGGTGGAGCGAGGAGGTGGCAGTGAAAAGCAACAGCGGTGGATTAAAAGAGGTGAAGGCGCACCTGAATTGCAGCGAGAGGGCCTTGAAGAGCGGCGTGACAGCGGGCTTGGTGGAGAAGAGCACCACCTGGCGGACAGGGGAGGGAGACGGGGGGCATGAGGCCCAAGCCGTTGGGTGCAGAAGGTTTGTGCCTAATGCTGCTGCCACAGCCCATCTGATTTGACTGAAAAATGCCCGTGGCTGTATTCTGTGAGTGCAGCTACGGGAGCAGTGCAGCAGAGGCAGTGGAGGTGGAGTGAGAAGATGCAAGACTGGAAGAGGAGGGCAGGGGAGGGCAGGAGACATAAGAAAGGAGAGGGCGGGAGGAGTAGCAGGGCGGCAGGAGTGGAACCTTGTTGAGGGTGGCGTTGGCAGAGAGGAAGGCGTCTGCAGAGGCGCCAGATGAGATGACTTGTGAGTCGACTCATGAATGAGACGTGTGTGAGCAGAGGCGATGGGAGGAGAGACGAACCTTGTTGAGGGTGGCGTTGGCATCGAGGAAGGCGTCTGCAGAGGCACCAGATGAGATGACTTGTGAGTCGGAATGAGACATGTGTGTGACAAGAGGCGATGGGAGGGGCGAACCTTGTTGAGGGTGGCGTTGGCAGCGAGGAAGGCGTCAGCAGAGGCGCCAGAGGAGATGTTGGCCACCAGGTCGTGGGGTAGGGCGGCTGGTGGGAGAGAGAGGAGAAGACAGGATGGGATACAAGGGGTTGGGGAGGCAGGGAGAGGGGACGGGGAGGTGGGCAGTTTGAATCTGTACGGGGCAATGGGGGCGTTGAAGTTGGTGTGGCATCAATGGAGTTGACGGCATCAATACAATGTGTACACCTGGGGCGCGCCCTTGTGTGTTTCGAATTGAGACCAAATACACGAGGAACAGGGATGAGAGGCAGGACAGGAGCTTACCAGTGGCAAAGTTGACAAGCGCCTTAGCGGTGTTGTCTCCATTGAACACCTGAGGCGCATCCTTGTAGCGCTTGTGCGTGTACGGGTTGGCTTTCACCTCCCATGGGTACAGCTGCGGGGGACACGCGGGAGAAATGTATGTGAGCGAGTGGCGAGAGAACGAAGGGAGGTGCTGGTGGTGGTGGTGGGGAAGAAAAGGCAGTGGTGGTGGTGCGAATGCACGACAGGACACGAGGCTGGACACGCTAGACACAGAACCAAAGGGGGAGAGTGTGGGGCAGGAGGGATGCCCCCTCCTGCTTCAGCAAATCATAGAGAGTGCGTAAGAAACGCATCCCTTCCTATCCCACACCCTCCCCCTGTCTACCCTCTCGGTGTGGGTAGGTCACGGCAGTGCACTCACCCTGAATGCAGGCAGCTCCTGTTGACACGTGCGGGAGGAGAGAGGGGGGAGGAGAGCGGGAGGGAGAAGAGGTGAGGAAAGGACGGCATGCACGCTAATGGCGGAACAGAGGGAGAGTGAAAATGGGAGAGAGTGAAACAAATAGGGGAGTGAGGTCAATGGAAGAAGAACAAGCAGAGTCCAGAGGTGAACTGGAAGAAAGGAATGCCGGTGGAAGGAGGAACCATGGGTAGGCAGGCGCGTGGAAAAAGATCAAGCCCTTATGCATTGCACAGCAGCACACCTCTGCGGATGGGAGAGTAGAAAGCACAGCGCATACCTTGATCTGCGCCTGCATGCACACGTCCGGTGCCTTGTTGCAGTTGATAGCGCCCACCTGATAGGGATCAGCGGAGAGGGATGCAGACAGATTAGAAAGAGGGGGAGAGAAGGAGCGAGAGGGTGGGGAGATGATCGAGTGTGGAGGAGAGGGGAGGAGGAGGGGAGTGAATGGCGGGAGGGAAGAAAAAGGAAGGGGCAGAGGTATGGAGAGGGGGGGGAGGGAGCAAGCATATGTGTGTGTCATCAAGTGACACACAATCCGTGAAATTCCCATGCCCTGTCATCAGCCACACATCCCCACATGCTAACCCACACCCCCCACGGCGCCCCACATCCCCCCCCCCCCGGGCATGCGCACACACACACGCACAACGCACCTTGACGAGCCCTTTAAGCGAGTCAGCGACCTTGGCCACCCCGGCCGCGAACTGCATGCACGGCTGATGAGTCCCATTTCCTCTCATCAGCCCCACATCCCCTTACGGCGCCCCGCAACCCCCTTCCGGCGTGCACAACGCACCTTGACGAGCCCTTTGAGCGAATCAGCGACCTTGGCCACCTCGGGCGCGAACTGCATGCACGGCTCGCACTTGTCCTGATGAAACTCCACCTGGTGGCACGCACAAAAGGGGGGGAGACGGGCGCGGAGAACGAAAGGGAGAACGAGAGGGGAGCAGCGTGAGGGGTGGAGAGGGTCACAGAGGCATTGGAGTCCCAAAAGCAACGAATCCCGGCATGATGCAGCTAAGTGGAATGGAGAGGAGAGAAGAGGAGACGAGAGAAGAGAAGAGAAGAGAAGAGGATGAGGAGGAAAGAAGAGAGGAGGGGCGAGGATGGGCGAGGATGGGCGAGGATGGGCGAGGGGAGGCGACGAGAGGCGATGGGAAGAGGGGCGTACAAGCCAGACGGCGGGTTGCGCGAGCACTTGAGTAGTGAAGCTCTCCGCGTCCAGCGATACCACGTTGCTGCCCACGGGGAGAGGGCGGGGAAGGGGCATGGGGGAGTGCGGGGGACAGTGGGGCAGTAGGGGGCGAGCACCTGAGTAGTGAACTCTCCGCGTCCAGCGATACCACGTTGCTGCCGCGGGACGGGCGGGCGGGAGAGGGCGGGGAAGGGGCACGGGGACAATGGGGGGCACACGGCGTTATATGGGGGGATATAAGGGGGTATGGCAGGAATGAGAGAGACGAGCAACGGAGATGGATGGTGGATCCGACGGCAACGAGCCGGAGTCGCATTCGCGCGTCGGGATTAATCCGCTCATCTCAAAAGATGCGCGCTTTTCAACCAATACGCGTTTCAAGCGATGCACGCGTCCCAGCCTACGCTCACGCGATTCGTGTGACAAGGCGGCGATTTACCCGTCCGGCGCAAACATGGCGGCGGCGAAAGCGACGAGGTGCAGCGCGACGGCAAGCGCGGCGAGCAGCTTCGGTGACGTGGCGATTCGACGGCGAGCCGCCATGGCAGCGACCATAGATGCAACGACTGACGCAGTCACAATTATGCGATCAGTTGCAAACGGCCTAAAGGTGATCGAGCTGACGCGGTCGCAATGACAGATCGAGCGACAAAGGCTGAAGCAGTAGCAGCCTATTCAATGGGCGAACGACGATGAGGGGAGTGGCTGATGAGTGATGAGAAAATGAAGGTGGTTCGTGAGATGGATGCGCGAGAATGCTTGGCGGGAAATGACAGAATTTGCTTCTGGAATCCGTGCTTTGGGAATGACTGGGAGGGCGGAGCACCTTCTGGAAGCGCTGGGGCGAACCAGCTGGCCCAGAGATTTGTACGCGTCAATGGAAAAGAGAATCTCCATCACAAGCCAACAACGAAGAACATCTGAATGTTTACAATCGCCACATTGTAAACAACCTGCGTCACAAGATATTTCATGAGTCTTCACTTCACCCTGAATCATATGTGCGGCGCAAGTGCAACTCTTCTAGCTATGTGACGTGGCCACGAGACAGCCACGGAGCGTGGCGCTCGTGTAAGCACTAGCGTCACTAGCGTCTTCGTTTGCATCAGTCCGTCAGTTCTGTCACTAGCAACAAAAAAGAGCCTCTTCTTCGCACGGTATGATCGCCTGGAGAACGCCACGCACTTCATCCGTCGCAACGCTGGCACGCGCTTTGCGCCGCCGCTAGTCGCAGCAGCATCCGACCCGCCTCGCTTCCCTACTGCTCCCCACATCTCTCCCACCATGGCCGCGTGGACCGCCGGTATTTCCGCCGACTTGCTCGCGCGTGCGCTCTTGCCTGCTGTGGATAATGGCGCCTCGCGCTGCCTCGGTATTGCCGATTGTCGCTCGCCTCCCAGTTGCCGACCCAGTTCTACCTCGCCACCCATTCCCACTGCCGCTCTGTTTTCGCCCGGCGCGCGCGATTCCCCTAGTGTGTCCTGCCTCGTGTCGGTCCGCGCGCCACTGTCGCGCGTCCGTGCGATCTCCGCCTCCGCCGCGTCCGCCAGCGATTCGGACGGCCCAGATCTCTCCCCACGGCCGTCCCTCCCCGATCCAACGCCGCGCGCCGTTCTAGATTTTCCGCCGGCCGAGGGATTCGGGGAGGAGCTGGCGAAGCTTCTGACGATGCTTCCGGGGAAGGTTCGCGACGTTCTGCGACGGCATCCGGCCGTCCATTCGCTGGTGGAGGTCGTTCTCGATCTCGGCCGTCGCCCCGTCGCACGGTTCCCCGCGGGCGACGTTTTTCTGTGCGAAGAGGTGGTAACAGCGGGCGACATTGAGTACTGCGTGTCGCAGGTAGCGCCCTCATTATCTCCCTCAGCGCCCTCTGCCGTTCCCCTCGCCCTCTCCCTCACAGCATCTTCCTTCCACGCACCACCTTCCTTGCAAGCACACCACCCCCCCCTCCCTTGCATGCACGTCCCTTCCACGTCCCTCATTGTCTCCCTCTCGTCCCGCTTCCGTTCCCCTCCCTGCCTTCTTCCCTCGTCCCCCTCTCCCTGCGCCCTTCCGCTCCGCGCAGGTTGGGGAGTTCGGCGCGGACAACCGCGCGGGGATAGACCGCACGCTGCACCGCATCAGCGCCATGCGCAACCGCGCGTCCTCTCCCCCCGTCCGTCTTCCCCCCTTCCCCCTCCGCGCAGGTTGGGGAGTTCGGCGCGGACAACCGCGCGGGGATAGACCGCACGCTGCACCGCATCAGCGCCATGCGCAACCGCGCGGGGAGGATCATCGGGCTGACGTGCCGCGTGGGGCGCGCGATTTCAGGCAGCGCGGAGATGGTGCGCGACCTGGTCGCGGGAGGCGAGTCCGTTCTACTCATGGGCGCGCCGGGAGTAGGGAAGACCACCGCCATCAGGTACGGGCAGGCAGAGCACCCATGCCTGGGCAGCGCGGAGTTGGTGCGCGACCTGGTCGCGGGGGGCGAATCTATCCTTCTCATGGGCGCGCCAGGCGTGGGGAAGACCACGACCATCAGGTACGGGCACAGCACCATACCCCATGCCCCATGCCCTGTACCCCATGGGGTGCGCGATTGTTGGCAGCGCGGAGTTGGTGCGCGACCTGGTGGCGGGCGGGGAGTCTGTGCTGCTCATGGGCGCGCCGGGCGTGGGGAAGACGACGGCCATAAGGTACGGGCACAGCACCATACCCCATGCCCTGTGCCCTGTGCCCCATGGGGCGCGCGATGGCAGCGCGGGGGTGAGATGGTGCGCGACCTGATGGCGGGGGGGATTCCGTGCTTCTCATGGGCGCGCCGGGCGTAGGGAAGACCACCGCCATCAGGTAATGGGGAGAGGGGAGGCCACGGCCATCAGGTGATAGAGGGGGTGGGAAAAGGGGTGTTGATGGGGGGAGTGGTGGTGGGTGGGGAGTCCATGCTGCTCATGGGCGCGCCGGGCGTGGGGTAGACGACCGCCATCAGGTAATGGGGGGAGCATTCGTGCCCCATGCCCCATGCCCCATCCCCAATGCCCCATGCCCCTCAATTTCCGCAACATACGCCTCCCTGCCCCACACCTCTCCCTACCTGCCCAATACACCCTGTGGTGCCGAGCAGAGAGGTGGCGCGAATTCTGGCGGACGAGTGCATGAGGATGGTGGTGGTGGTGGATACGAGCAATGGGTTCGCAGGCTACGGGGACATCGTTCATGCCGCCATCGGCTCTGCTATATGCTCTGTGTGCTGTGCCTCCCCCCCATGCCCCGTAATGTGCTGCTGCTGTGCAGGGAGGTCGCGCGAATATTGGCGGACGAGTGCATGAGGAGAGTGGTGGTGGTGGATACGAGCAATGAGATCGCAGGTGACGGTGACATCGCCCATGCCGCCATCGGATCAGCGCGGCGCATGCAAGTGCCGCATGTGGAGCTGCAGCACCAGGTGGGCGAGTGCGTGTGACAGCATGGGCAGTGGAGATGATTGACGAGATTGTGTGTGTGCAGTGAATCACTTGTATTGCCACCTCCCTCCACCTTCCACGTTCTCATCTCCCCCTCTCTCCACCCCCCGTTCCCTTTCTGCACCAGGTGATGATAGAGGCGGTGGAGAATCACATGCCGCAGGTGGTGATACTCGAGAGATCGGTCAGAGATGGGGTGTGTGTGTGTGCGGCGAAAACATGTGTCGACACAACCCTCCACCTTCCTGTTCCCACCCTCTCTCCTCCTTCAACCCCCCGCACCAGGTGATGATAGAGGCGGTGGAGAATCACATGCCGCAGGTGGTGATACTCGAGAGATCGGTCAGAGATGGGGTGTGTGTGTGTGCGGCGAAAACATGTGTCGACACAACCCTCCACCTTCCTGTTCCCACCCTCTCTCCTCCTTCAACCCCCCGCACCAGGTGATGATAGAGGCGGTGGAGAATCACATGCCGCAGGTGGTGATACTCGAGAGATCGGTCAGAGATGGGGTGTGTGTGTGTGCGGCGAAAACATGTGTCGACACAACCCTCCACCTTCCTGTTCCCACCCTCTCTCCTCCTTCAACCCCCCGCACCAGGTGATGATAGAGGCGGTGGAGAATCACATGCCGCAGGTGGTGATACTCGAGAGATCGGTCAGAGATGGGGTGTGTGTGTGTGCGGCGAAAACATGTGTCGACACAACCCTCCACCTTCCTGTTCCCACCCTCTCTCCTCCTTCAACCCCCCGCACCAGGTGATGATAGAGGCGGTGGAGAATCACATGCCGCAGGTGGTGATACTCGAGAGATCGGTCAGAGATGGGGTGTGTGTGTGTGCGGCGAAAACATGTGTCGACACAACCCTCCACCTTCCTGTTCCCACCCTCTCTCCTCCTTCAACCCCCCGCACCAGGTGATGATAGAGGCGGTGGAGAATCACATGCCGCAGGTGGTGATACTCGAGAGATCGGTCAGAGATGGGGTGTGTGTGTGTGCGGCGAAAACATGTGTCGACACAACCCTCCACCTTCCTGTTCCCACCCTCTCTCCTCCTTCAACCCCCCGCACCAGGTGATGATAGAGGCGGTGGAGAATCACATGCCGCAGGTGGTGATACTCGAGAGATCGGTCAGAGATGGGGTGTGTGTGTGTGCGGCGAAAACATGTGTCGACACAACCCTCCACCTTCCTGTTCCCACCCTCTCTCCTCCTTCAACCCCCCGCACCAGGTGATGATAGAGGCGGTGGAGAATCACATGCCGCAGGTGGTGATACTCGAGAGATCGGTCAGAGATGGGGTGTGTGTGTGTGCGGCGAAAACATGTGTCGACACAACCCTCCACCTTCCTGTTCCCACCCTCTCTCCTCCTTCAACCCCCCGCACCAGGTGATGATAGAGGCGGTGGAGAATCACATGCCGCAGGTGGTGATACTCGAGAGATCGGTCAGAGATGGGGTGTGTGTGTGTGCGGCGAAAACATGTGTCGACACAACCCTCCACCTTCCTGTTCCCACCCTCTCTCCTCCTTCAACCCCCCGCACCAGGTGATGATAGAGGCGGTGGAGAATCACATGCCGCAGGTGGTGATACTCGAGAGATCGGTCAGAGATGGGGTGTGTGTGTGTGCGGCGAAAACATGTGTCGACACAACCCTCCACCTTCCTGTTCCCACCCTCTCTCCTCCTTCAACCCCCCGCACCAGGTGATGATAGAGGCGGTGGAGAATCACATGCCGCAGGTGGTGATACTCGAGAGATCGGTCAGAGATGGGGTGTGTGTGTGTGCGGCGAAAACATGTGTCGACACAACCCTCCACCTTCCTGTTCCCACCCTCTCTCCTCCTTCAACCCCCCGCACCAGGTGATGATAGAGGCGGTGGAGAATCACATGCCGCAGGTGGTGATACTCGAGAGATCGGTCAGAGATGGGGTGTGTGTGTGTGCGGCGAAAACATGTGTCGACACAACCCTCCACCTTCCTGTTCCCACCCTCTCTCCTCCTTCAACCCCCCGCACCAGGTGATGATAGAGGCGGTGGAGAATCACATGCCGCAGGTGGTGATACTCGAGAGATCGGTCAGAGATGGGGTGTGTGTGTGTGCGGCGAAAACATGTGTCGACACAACCCTCCACCTTCCTGTTCCCACCCTCTCTCCTCCTTCAACCCCCCGCACCAGGTGATGATAGAGGCGGTGGAGAATCACATGCCGCAGGTGGTGATACTCGAGAGATCGGTCAGAGATGGGGTGTGTGTGTGTGCGGCGAAAACATGTGTCGACACAACCCTCCACCTTCCTGTTCCCACCCTCTCTCCTCCTTCAACCCCCCGCACCAGGTGATGATAGAGGCGGTGGAGAATCACATGCCGCAGGTGGTGATACTCGAGAGATCGGTCAGAGATGGGGTGTGTGTGTGTGCGGCGAAAACATGTGTCGACACAACCCTCCACCTTCCTGTTCCCACCCTCTCTCCTCCTTCAACCCCCCGCACCAGGTGATGATAGAGGCGGTGGAGAATCACATGCCGCAGGTGGTGATACTCGAGAGATCGGTCAGAGATGGGGTGTGTGTGTGTGCGGCGAAAACATGTGTCGACACAACCCTCCACCTTCCTGTTCCCACCCTCTCTCCTCCTTCAACCCCCCGCACCAGGTGATGATAGAGGCGGTGGAGAATCACATGCCGCAGGTGGTGATACTCGAGAGATCGGTCAGAGATGGGGTGTGTGTGTGTGCGGCGAAAACATGTGTCGACACAACCCTCCACCTTCCTGTTCCCACCCTCTCTCCTCCTTCAACCCCCCGCACCAGGTGATGATAGAGGCGGTGGAGAATCACATGCCGCAGGTGGTGATACTCGAGAGATCGGTCAGAGATGGGGTGTGTGTGTGTGCGGCGAAAACATGTGTCGACACAACCCTCCACCTTCCTGTTCCCACCCTCTCTCCTCCTTCAACCCCCCGCACCAGGTGATGATAGAGGCGGTGGAGAATCACATGCCGCAGGTGGTGATACTCGAGAGATCGGTCAGAGATGGGGTGTGTGTGTGTGCGGCGAAAACATGTGTCGACACAACCCTCCACCTTCCTGTTCCCACCCTCTCTCCTCCTTCAACCCCCCGCACCAGGTGATGATAGAGGCGGTGGAGAATCACATGCCGCAGGTGGTGATACTCGAGAGATCGGTCAGAGATGGGGTGTGTGTGTGTGCGGCGAAAACATGTGTCGACACAACCCTCCACCTTCCTGTTCCCACCCTCTCTCCTCCTTCAACCCCCCGCACCAGGTGATGATAGAGGCGGTGGAGAATCACATGCCGCAGGTGGTGATACTCGAGAGATCGGTCAGAGATGGGGTGTGTGTGTGTGCGGCGAAAACATGTGTCGACACAACCCTCCACCTTCCTGTTCCCACCCTCTCTCCTCCTTCAACCCCCCGCACCAGGTGATGATAGAGGCGGTGGAGAATCACATGCCGCAGGTGGTGATACTCGAGAGATCGGTCAGAGATGGGGTGTGTGTGTGTGCGGCGAAAACATGTGTCGACACAACCCTCCACCTTCCTGTTCCCACCCTCTCTCCTCCTTCAACCCCCCGCACCAGGTGATGATAGAGGCGGTGGAGAATCACATGCCGCAGGTGGTGATACTCGAGAGATCGGTCAGAGATGGGGTGTGTGTGTGTGCGGCGAAAACATGTGTCGACACAACCCTCCACCTTCCTGTTCCCACCCTCTCTCCTCCTTCAACCCCCCGCACCAGGTGATGATAGAGGCGGTGGAGAATCACATGCCGCAGGTGGTGATACTCGAGAGATCGGTCAGAGATGGGGTGTGTGTGTGTGCGGCGAAAACATGTGTCGACACAACCCTCCACCTTCCTGTTCCCACCCTCTCTCCTCCTTCAACCCCCCGCACCAGGTGATGATAGAGGCGGTGGAGAATCACATGCCGCAGGTGGTGATACTCGAGAGATCGGTCAGAGATGGGGTGTGTGTGTGTGCGGCGAAAACATGTGTCGACACAACCCTCCACCTTCCTGTTCCCACCCTCTCTCCTCCTTCAACCCCCCGCACCAGGTGATGATAGAGGCGGTGGAGAATCACATGCCGCAGGTGGTGATACTCGAGAGATCGGTCAGAGATGGGGTGTGTGTGTGTGCGGCGAAAACATGTGTCGACACAACCCTCCACCTTCCTGTTCCCACCCTCTCTCCTCCTTCAACCCCCCGCACCAGGTGATGATAGAGGCGGTGGAGAATCACATGCCGCAGGTGGTGATACTCGAGAGATCGGTCAGAGATGGGGTGTGTGTGTGTGCGGCGAAAACATGTGTCGACACAACCCTCCACCTTCCTGTTCCCACCCTCTCTCCTCCTTCAACCCCCCGCACCAGGTGATGATAGAGGCGGTGGAGAATCACATGCCGCAGGTGGTGATACTCGAGAGATCGGTCAGAGATGGGGTGTGTGTGTGTGCGGCGAAAACATGTGTCGACACAACCCTCCACCTTCCTGTTCCCACCCTCTCTCCTCCTTCAACCCCCCGCACCAGGTGATGATAGAGGCGGTGGAGAATCACATGCCGCAGGTGGTGATACTCGAGAGATCGGTCAGAGATGGGGTGTGTGTGTGTGCGGCGAAAACATGTGTCGACACAACCCTCCACCTTCCTGTTCCCACCCTCTCTCCTCCTTCAACCCCCCGCACCAGGTGATGATAGAGGCGGTGGAGAATCACATGCCGCAGGTGGTGATACTCGAGAGATCGGTCAGAGATGGGGTGTGTGTGTGTGCGGCGAAAACATGTGTCGACACAACCCTCCACCTTCCTGTTCCCACCCTCTCTCCTCCTTCAACCCCCCGCACCAGGTGATGATAGAGGCGGTGGAGAATCACATGCCGCAGGTGGTGATACTCGAGAGATCGGTCAGAGATGGGGTGTGTGTGTGTGCGGCGAAAACATGTGTCGACACAACCCTCCAC